ATGATAGAATATAAATAAAAACATGTTTTGTTAAAATATGCCTTACATATTTATAAGTAACATATTGAAAAAGAAATACGAATTTATAAAAAGCCTTTTAAAAAAAAAATTGTAACGAGTGCTTATCAAATTTAACCAAAATACCTATGTCATTTGTAATGTGTTTTTATAAATGATGAGAAAAAAATAGGTATCTAATTTTTAAACTTAACAATTAGTATTAGTAGTATATCTTAGTATATTTCTTAGCTATACTTCATGATTCGTTCCTAAAATAAAGACTAGTGAAAATCCTGACAGTTCTTCCTATAGTGTGTAACAGTTTACTAAATAAACTGTCTCTCTTTTGCATGTTTACCTGATGTGCTTAATTCCTTTTTACTTTTTAATACAAATTAATTTAAAGAAAAACCATAATTAAAAATAATTATTAAGTTTAAAAATTAGACACCTATACTACTAATACTAGTACCTAACTATCCCTGCTAAGAAAATTCAGCCTTATGAAACTGTCGCAGTAACGTATGCTTAACTGTACATTGCAAAAACGAAGCGGCATTACCGATACAAATTTCTAATTTAGAACATTTATTAGTTTTATTGTCATTTACCGTTAATGGACGTTTGTTAAACTAAGTATTACATAAATAAATTCAATAATAACTTATATAGGGTAATTTGAAATAAATTCTCATTTGAAAATTGTCAAAACTTATTAGCTGAAATGAAAGGTTTGAATAATTAATATCAGTTGTTGTTTTGACTCACATTGAACATGTTTCGACATGTCGTAATATGCGTCATTCGAGGATTTGGATGATTGTCGTACAGTCAACATAGGTAACACGAAAGTCGTGCCCTGTTCTATAACATAAAATATTTTTCTTTTAGATTTTATCCAACAAAGTTGTCAATTCCTTAATTAAAAACATCTTCCAATAAAGTTATAAAATAAACCTATATTCTGTATCACAATGTTATGCTGTCGTCGATTGAAGTTTGCAATAATGATCTCTACCCAAAATAAAGATTGGTGAAAATCCTGGCAACTTTTCCTATAGTGGATATCAGAAAGATCATTTTTTAAGCGAACGTAGTATTACTGAAGAGAGGTTGACAGATTTAGCTCTACTAAATGAAATAACGCCAAACGACTCAAATATCATCACCCGATTGTCTAATAAAAATAAGTCTCCTTTATTTTATCATATACAAAAATCAAATATTATATCGTTTAATAAAGTCTAATTTATTCAACATATAGCATACATAGACTACGACCACGTCAGTTAGTTTTATCTCAAAAATGTCAGAGTACTTATGTTCTGCAATGCTGTTCTGTTAAAAATAGCGATGAAATCAGTTTCAAATATTATGAATTAATAAAGCCTAAAGGTAATAATGGTTTTTATTTACTTAACTAGTAAGCTACGATAGCGCTGCTAATCATTGCTTTTGATGCTTTCGATGCTGTCTTTAACTGAATACCAAAGCTATAAAAAGAGGTTTAATTTCGTAAGACTGTTTTTATCAGATATTAAGGTTTATTCTAGTAGTTTCAGAGTAAATAAGTTGTTACAGACGAACCAATTGACGGGCAGAATATAAGACCTCCTTTTCTTTTCAGGCACAGAACGAATTCAATTGAAATAAAAACTAATTAGAATCATTAACTTTGGATTTAAATTCCACCGGTGGCGGCACTCGTTCTGCACTGCTGATTATCACAGTTTTTATTTTATGACAAGTGTGGGAATTAATGGAGGGATGTGTATGAACTTTTTACAAAGGACCATCATACAAGTCTACCCACAGGAAGAATAACTGCTGTCTCATTAATATTAGAATTGTTCTGTACGATTGAATAAGTATTCTGGTTCAGAGATATGACGTAACTATAATTTATGCATATGCATATGACTCGTACAAGAATTTCAGTAGGTTTTATACTGAAAAATTAATGATTAAAGTGTTGGTAATTACTACTAATTACTTACACTTCATTGGACGACGTATGGTAGGTTGTTATCGGCGAACAAATAACGAATAGGTTAATGATATGATGACATTCTTGTTTTTTTACATGATGTGCATACATTTTTAAGTTATTTTAAGTTCAGAGCTGTACACTTTCTTCAATCACCACAAAAAATATATTCTTTAAAAAAACATCAGCTATACGGAAAATATTCCAGGATTAAAAAGTTAAAAGAAAAAATTAAGAAGCTGCACTTTAAAAAAGGTTGTATATTTATTCAATTAAGAATGTTAAATTTCCAGAAGAAGAAAAGTCTCTGTTAAGGTTACAAAGCTTCCAAAAAGTTCCTATACATACTCAAATTAAAAAAGTTTTAATGTCCAGGAATGCGCTTGACCTCGTGGCACAGGTTCACATACGGCAGGGGAGTGCGCTGGCGCATGACGACGTGTCCTTGGCCGTCTGCGCAGGGATTTCAAATTAATAAATCATGATAAAAAGTATATGTATATTTTAAATATATGGGGATGGTTAAATTATATCCTCTATAAGTCTTTAAAAAGTCAGAAAAAACATATATTCGCAGTGTAAAAGTAGATTAAATTTAGAATTCATTAGGATTTTTTAAAGTAAATTAACCCTTTTCATTTCTCTTTCTAACGTACAACCGTTTTTGTTCTGGATTATAATTAATCAAATGTCTCACTGATAATGTAGATTTTTAATATCCATCCAGTAATTTAGGACTAGTCCGTTTTCTGAATTGAGAAAAGTAGAAAACCTCAACTGATTATTGTCAATAGTTTTTTGTTTTACATAGCAAAAAGTCCTAGTTTTATCGAACTGCTTTCAACTCATCATTCAAATTAAAATCAGATACGAGAACCTGTTCAAGTGATTAAGTATGATTTGAGACGTGCTTAACTTTTAATTTCAATTCTTAATAAAATATTTATATATATAAATATTTCTTAATAAAAACTGTAAACAAATTCCAGAAATAAAGAAATAAATAATTATTAGATAACATACATTGCTTAGATACCAAGATGAGTAGATAAAGGCCCTATATTATGGAGTATATGAGATAACGAAGGCATCGAACTACATCCAGACACGAGACAATTTTGAAAAGTCCATTTTCATCATTGACTCGACCGAGAATTGAACCCGGGACCTCAGGGGTGGCGAAACCTTGAACCCGAAATTTGTGACTATTAAAAATATTTATCAAGATCCTTAAGGCTTTTTTAGTTTCTCGAAAGAAATGTTTTTTTGACAAATTTTTTAATTACGGGTGAAGTAAGGAGAATCATGATATACCGACCTACTCGCTTACTTCGATTTCATACTCGTATTTGTTACTTCTGAAATATAATCAATAAAAAAAAAAAAGCTATGATCGTACTAAACTCCTCCGTTTAGTTTCGAACTCTGTTAAACAATACGTATCAGAAAAAATGGTACCTCAAATATAATACATACAAACTTAGTCAAACCGTTCCCTAAAAGTGGGAAAACAAAATCCAACCCGGAAATTCTCTTTTAAGAGAACGCATATTTCTCAGGGTTCATTACGGCGAGAGGAAAACACTCCACCTGTTCCTGCGGGGTCCGTACGGCCGCCATCTTGTCAGCCATTACTGTTAATTACGCGAGGAAGTTTAGTTTCGGCGGGCTTTTTTTTCTTACAGGTTTGCATTTGTTTTTCGAATATATTTCGTTCCTTGCGTCAGCTTTAGGTTAAAAACAAGTCTGATACACTAAAAATAATAAAATTTCAAATATAAACTTCTGTGAAGGCGCAGTTTTCTTCACAACATACTCGTATTTAAAATTAAAGTCAAGCAAAATGGGTTAGACATATATTGGATAAATTAGAAATAACTCATGAAAATTCTCCCCATTTCTACCTAATTAAAGGTACACATCTAAAATCTAAGGGTACAATATGTTCGAATGCTTTTATATCTGTATTAGATTTTTCATACGCCCGGAATTTACTTTCCAGTTGACGATTCTGTATGAAACAAAACAGGAAGTGTAGAATAAGGAAAAGCTGTACTTCTTGTAAATTTTTCTCAATACATATACTCCGAACCATCTTGAAAATTTTACCAAATTACTTTTACATAAATATTTTCGCATATTTCTTAGCAGATGTCCAAAAGCAAATAACACGAGTGTTATACTCAATAATTGTCTTAGTTGTTCCTCAACTTGGAAGAGGTTTAAATAACTTTAATAAACTTTAAATAATTTCATTCTTATATTGAAAAACATAACATAGTCTTTTACTATGCATTCGCAAATAAAGAGAAACTGACGTATTATCGCTATCTTCTCTTTTCCCTCTGCATTATCACTTTTACACTTACATGCAGATAGATGTATTTGTTCTTCCTTTGTATGCTAGCTCGATGGATCTATTACAAGATATTATTCTACTGTCATAATGTTAGCAACCGGCATCTGGTTGTCATGATGTAAAATTATGTATTGGCAACGTCTGCGGTTGAATATAATGAAAATCATTTGTGCGCAAAATATTTAATCGAATATTCTATCAAATATTGTTTTGATTACCTTGAAAAACATTTTTAAGATTGACATCAATGGCATAATGTTTTTCATGGAGTGAGATTGTGTGATCCGTAAACTAAGTAAATGTTTATTTCAGTTTTTGCATGCGATGTTCACCTGTAAATGATTGTACATTCAGCAAATTTAAATTAAGTTAGTTTACTAAATCAAATTAATGTAACAATCGTTGGTGTACTAAATAAATAAATAAATAAATAAATAAATGGCATAGAATCTTTTTAATGCTCTATAAGGACATTGAAAAAATCTTGCTAGAAGCTAGTTTTTTTTTTCTAGTCTTTGCCGAAATTTGAGGTAGAAGTATATTAGATATTAGTAGCCGTATTTTAAAAAGTGGTGTTGGTTGTATTACTAATATTTCTCCAATATTCCCGTGGAATTTGTTATCGATATACAACTCAATGTTGTCAGCCGAATGATGTCATACTGTCTTCCCATTGAAACCGCTCTGGCGGGCGGGGCGTCGGGCGGAACCATCGATCCAGTCACGCCTTCGGGACTTGTTTGGGTCCGGGAACAGGGTAGTGTACTAGCGGCGACATATCCGGAATCTCTTCCAGATAATACCTTTAAAACTGAGCATATAGACGAATGAGACAATGAAATAGAGAATGATTTATTGCGCATCGAATACTGCATTTAATTAATTAATCACAAACAATTGTCATTATTATATAAATTTTATAGTCTCGGTTACAAAGTCAGTCATGACTTAATTATGAATTTTCCATTAAAAAGCATACTTACTTAATTATGACAGGAATTTGGAATAAAATGCGAATTTTATAATTTTTTTCCCATAGAGAAAATTTTATAAATTCACAGATGGAACAAAAAAAAATATTTTACCTACCCTCTATTTTTAGTGGTGTAGATTAATATTTTAGAGAATATTATTCTATAACTCAAATAGGCTCTATCAATTTCTCTTAAAAATTGCAATATTCAGCTTGTTCAGTATAAGAATGTTATTGTGCATCTACGTTACCGGATAAACATCGATCGCAGCCGGTTTTGCTCGAGCGCGCGCCACGCCCGGGTGCGCCCGGGTGCACCCGGGTAACCCGGGTCGATACAATTCACGGTCGTACACTATTCATTGATTTATTTAAGAAATATTATTAAGCATTATGGAGGCTGTTTTGCAGTTCAAGTTTTGACCGTTTTGCAGTTCAAGTCGATCGTGGAAGATAGGAAAATAGGGAATTTTATTAATGATATTATTTTTCGAATAAATGAATCAATGAATGGTCAATTTATTCTACACCATAAAGAAATAGAAATATAAATTTCAAGTACAAGTTGTGTTATTTCAGATTGATATTTCGCAGTCTCTAAGAGGCTGATATTCACTCTATTAATAATTTTAATTTGATTACTCTATAAATTTGCTCATAGTTTCAATAATGCCTCAATAAGCCAAATAATGCCCTTTGTTCTGGTAATTAAATCATGATATTTGGATAAAATACAAATTTAGTGACAGACCTTTACTAGATTATTTAAAATCTACATTTTATAGAGTGATACGCCAGAATTTGCACAATTTACGATACTTTATTTCTTTATCTCTTACAGTGTTATTAATAAAAAAGGTTTATTATTGGAGTAAAGTTTCACTGAGACTACACTTAGTATTAGTCAAAATTCATTAAACAAATATTTAGCAAAGGTTTACCAAGTTCTACGGGAGTATTATTTACTGCTAGAAGGTAGTGAGTTTGCTTATTCTCTGTATGATATGAATTTGGATAATATTATTGATAATACTAAAATTGCAATTTTAGTGTAAATTTACTCTGACGCTAAACCTTGTTTGTTATAATAGCACTGTCGAAGTTTAAAAAAACACTTTATTCTTCGACAGTTTTTGTTTAGAACCATGAAAGTATCGATATTTACCGGGAGATCCGGAAAAGGGTCTTATTATTAATGAACAGAGCACCGGCCGTGAACCGGGTATCGACCCGGATTACCCGGGCGTGGCGCACTGTATCTTTTCATGCGAATAACGCGACACGATCGTTGTTGTGAAATGCTAAACTTCTGTTGATGAATTTTGAGACTCCTTTGCGTAGTGATAATTTGAATATATACTAGATGTTACCCGTGTTTTATAGTGTTTGTGTCACTTTTCGGTCTTCGGTCTTTTCGGTCAAAGATATAATCTTTAGACAATAATTATACCATGACTATTACTCCTACCAATAGGGATGATGACTGGGTAAAAAAAATGCAATTCTATTTAGTCCGTCAGTCAGATAATAGAAAAATATTAGATACTTATTTTTTTTTTACTTCAATTTCACTTTACTTCAATTTTACTTCACTTCACAGTTGAGTAGAAAACGTACCATAACGTGACGTCATGCGAAATTTCAACCCCATATAACGCCGTAATTTTATGATTACGAAAAAACAAAAAAAATACGTGTTTAATATTTTTTAACACTCTACCTGACGGACAAACAAACAAAAATTAGTCATCATCCCAACATGACACCTGAAATCCTTTAGTTTTCTTTGAAAACGAAATTTCGTCTGTTTTCGAAATGCAATGCAATCTTGTTTGCAACGGAAACAAGACCTGAATCTGCCTCTGACGCACAAATGATTTTTACGGATATGATTTTATTTTATCAAAATTATGCAAAATAGCGATTATAAATTTGCTAAATTTGTCTTCGTGTACAAACAGTGTAGGCCCTCTGTTCTCTGACCGATTAGTTACTTTTTGTAGTTTTTGTAAGGAAAGTTTTAATAATAAAATTTAACATTTTATTTTCCTTTATAAACTGTTCATGGCTAACAAGGTCGTAAGGAGCCTTTAGAAACTTTATAGAACTTTCTCACATAATTTAATTCTGAGGCGGAGCGAAGTTCAGGAATTTCTTAAAAAAATATTAGATAATATCATATAACACTATATATGAACTATTTGAAATTTCCCGAGTTGTATTCGAACCCAAATAGAATAAGCCCTCAGGTGTCATATTTAAATTCTCTATAGATGGAATTGAATTGAATCGAATACGAAGAATAGGTTTCGGACTTTCTGAAGCACGGAGCGGCTCAGGATATTGAATTGGTCACCCATCCAATAAACGGTTATTGCGAATCACTTTAATTTCTAAAGATTAAGTCTGCTCGTAACGTTAACATTAAAATTATATTGTTAGTTTTTGAAATTAATTTGCACTGACAAAATCTGTTGGAAATTAATGATTTCAATTGAGGTACAGTATTAAAATGTAATACGTTTGCAGGTCATGGCGGCGTCAATCAGCTGGGCGGGGTGTTCGTGAACGGGCGACCGTTGCCTGACGTCGTGCGACAGAGAATAGTGGAGTTGGCCCACAGCGGTGTTAGACCGTGCGACATCAGCAGACAGCTGCGCGTGTCGCACGGATGCGTCTCCAAGATACTATCTAGGTATGTACGAGTAACAATAACTTGAGCATTTTTTGTATGATTGGAGAAACATTGAAATCCTTGTGATGTTATTTATTTGTTTTTACGAATATCAATTCATCCCAAAGTTTTAGAAGAAACATGTCCTAATGCGGTCTTGTCGTCTATTCTCTTCTCGTCTTGCTCGCATCGCTTGGCAAAAAAGTTCCCATTTTCGCAAAACGGAACATTTATGCGGCACGTAGATATCTTTGGAGACACCGGGACAGTCAACTGAAAGACAGGACTTCTGGTCACGTTATGTAACAAATACTTTTTTTATAATCAACGTGACAGAGTTGTGTTGGTTTCCGGTTGGGTCAATATTTTAACTTGTCTATATTGTCTCGGGTCTTGGTGTTTTGGTATCTTCGTGATTTCAGATTGGTATAATACAAGTTCTTTAGTTATTAAACATTGTATGTGATGTTGTCTAATATTTATTTAGAGAGCCTAAAGTCAAAAAAGGAAGTAAGTAAAAAATTAACGCATCTCTTAATGAGAGATCTAAGAGACGAGATAGAGGACGACGTATTGCATATCAAAAACTATTTTCAGTTAATTACTCGTAAACTATTCTAATAAAAGTTCTCAACCCTAAAACTCAGATACAAAGCGACTCACGTGTATATCAATATTCAGTTTATTAAAAGAAGTACCTGAAGGAACTACCAAAAGGATGATTTTTAAAACTATTTTTATTTTTTTTTCAAAGAGAAAATATTATAACCATGATTTGAAGTATATTACCTGTAGTTTACTTCTTAATAGGAGTACGACTTACACCTCCTCAAGTCTCTCTTCAATTCTCATCACACTATCATTGTTTCAGTACTGACAAATATTATTAAAATTATATAACGGTAAATGTAATTTACGGATCCATTTTTAATTAAATAAAACTATTACAATAATGTAATTACAATGAAAATTATACCCAAAACAATAACGCCGCAGCTTCAATTATTAAAAAAAAATAATGTCGCTCTTCTTAGAACAAAAGAAAATGACATAAGTGTGTTATTGTAGTGCGCACGCGCCGACGTTTACCGTAGACGGCGATGTTTACCTTGTTTATACGGACCGTGACGTTACAATGCCATTGTCTTACCGTTTTTACTTATGCCGAGAGAATTAGAATGTTTTTGCCAATTTTACTATAGTTACATATGTTCAGATTAAATTGTAATTAAATTCAAATTAATTTTAACTAGGTAACTACAAAAAAGGAGAGATATTTAGAACGATTTGATGATTTTTTTAATGTAGCTAAGACAAAATTTGATTTTTTATATTTATAAATACTTTAACAATTTACCATTTCCATTTATAGGCTGGTCTTGTTTTTTATGTATTTTTGGATAAGATAAAGATAATTTTACAGCATTTTATTGACACATAGTATTGAATTTTATTTATTTTTCTAAAAACTTTTTCAGCGAATAAAGTTTTTTTTTATTCTCGTATTTGTCGTATGTTTATCTCTCTCTTTCCCCTTATTGTCTGTATACCGAACCTAACGTTATATAAGTAAAAGGTCCAGTTATTACTAATTTATGTTTTATTTTAATATGATAATTTTAGTACCTACGTACAAGCAAAATACTCATGATGCCAAGCCAAACCAAAAACAAAAAAAAAGATGTTTTAGACAATAGAATATCAAAAGAAAAAGAACATTAGAAGAGAGGTCTCATGTAGGTACATATATAAAATTATGGTGTATTCGTCTACAGACTGGACTTTTGAGTTTATCTCATTCCCCCTTTGCGTTTATGCGAAGTCTTAAGGCTTCAGTTAATCAGACAGAGTTAAGAGGCAACCTCATCTGTGGTTAACCAATGTTTAAATGCAACTATCACGGTTAAGTTAACTAAACCGCACTATCTCGGCTCTTACTACAAATTACTTATTTAATTATACTAACATATTTAATACTAGCTTGCGCCCGCGACTTCACCCGCAGGACTTCGTGAAATAGTTAACCGATGGCTGAAAATTTCGCAGAATCTCTTTATACACAACATAATATATATTATCGATAGTTCAATTGAAATAGAGAAAACTGAAGAAAGATTTTTTTTTTAATATAGCCTTGTTGAAGTAATATGAGGATCGGGTAAAAGACAACCAAAGAGTAAAGTATATAAGACAACTTTACTGACTATAGAACTTCAAAACCATAGATTTTTTTATCTGAGTTCAAAACTTAATACAAATTCCACAAAGAATATATTTACATAAAGATATAAAAAGGTATAATCTATGTACAAAAAGATATTGTTAATACTCGTATTAAACATAGAATTATTTTGTTTTTCCCTAAGACAAACATGACAAATTTACAACATATTTAGGTGATATCTAATTGTTTTGTTATAAAAAGAAAATTAGTCATTCAATTTCGATGAAATTTAAATGGGATCACCTCGGCCAACTAAGCTGTCGAATTTGAAAATCGATTCATAATTGGTCTTTGGTAAATCAATAAAAAAACATACAGTCGAACTGAAAACCTCCTCCTGTTTTGAAGTCGGTTAAAAAATGTGTCTAAATACATGCTACTTATGATCACTACCAATTTTTTTTATACATCTACAGCTTGTTTAATGCATATTATAAATGAAACTACATATATTATTAATAACCTTGGTGTATGGCAGGTTTTACGTAATATGTCGCACATCATGGGACCTAAAGAAAATTTTTATGAACTGATTAAAAGCATAGACAATAAATCTATGGTTAAAAGATTGCTACGGACAAGCTAAAACAAATGAAGCTGTTTGTTGTCCAAATAGCAAAATCAGACTGAGATAGACTTACATAACTTTACAATATTTTAATTAACAATAATTACATAACTTTATTGTTATGTTTATGATAACAAGCAGCTGTCTTCCGACATTTAGCCCGCAAAAATTTTAACCTATATCATCCGCGTATGATGTAGCTTCCCGTAAGTGAAATAATTTTTTAAATCGGTCCATTATTTTAGAGCCTACCCAATGCAAACAAACAATGAAATCTTTGCTCTACACAAAATTATTATTACTATAAAAGGCTGCTTATTTCCTTATCGGTTTGTATTAATTTCATTCAACGAACACGTGAATCGTTCATTGGTATAGCTATGAGAGTTGACCCCAACGCATTTCCATATCTGATTGATACAATTCCGTCGCGAACAATCAACACGAGTGTTGCCAGTGGACGGTATTGTCCATTTTAAATTGGAAATTGACCTCGTTAGTGTTGTGACGTGACGACATCCCGGGGGTTACGACGAGATTTTATTGATACATGTTTATTTTAAATGTCATTATGTTTGGCGCAGTCCAAACTTAATGACATTTAAAATAGACCGAAAATGTATACCAAATATCCATAAATGTATTAAGCACTGTTCAGGGGGTGTGTCGGACTCTCCACTACTCAAAGACCTACTCAGTGGTAAGTATGCTGAGCAAGTAAAAAGATGGAGGCCTTGCTATACCGTCAGTTGGCAACCGCACCTGGGAACTCGGATGTAATAGCCGAAAGCCCTACTGGATCTGCAGACGACAATACCCAGCAAAATGGGTTCGGGTTGCTTAAATAATACATTCTAATTAACGTCTAGAGCATTGGATACGTGCATGGATATTGGCGACGTCTCCGCTGCCTAAAGCCACGGAGTCACATTATATTACGACTCAACACCTACAACGTTTGTACATACACAGAATTTGGCTTTACGTGTTCGGGTCGTGTTATATCTGACCTCTCATTCCCTCTCCACAGCTTAGTATATAAGAATCCAACATGAAAACAATCCGTGTTGGACATATATCCCGTCACTAGTTCCCGCGGGACAACGCACAATACTGCATGAGGACGGTCGCTTTAGATTTTCAATTTATTTGCAGACCATCTCATTTTGTTTTGACTTTGTGCGGACGGCACCCCTTTTTGTGCATCGAATTAGTGCTCTCGATTAACAAAGTTTTTATTCTATCAATAATAACAAATAATTAATGAAAACATTATTAATTTTAAATGAAGTTCTTTTTACATACCCCTTGTATTGTATTGTAAAACTGAATGAATGCAAGAAACTTAAAACAAAAACCTGTCATTACCAAATCAATATCCATTAAAATAATTTAACCAATATAATGAAAAGGATAATTTATTAGTAGGAAACGCGAGCTGATTGAAGATACCGTTCACGACTGCTGATGCATCCGGTATATCTATAATAAAAATGGTCACCCATCCCACAACCGACCTCCGTGAAAGTTGTTTAACAATTTTCGTTCGGTCGATATAAAAAATAAATATATACACGGTCAACACACGTTACCAGATTTTATAACACAACGGACGCGACGGGCGGAAGCGTGCCCGCCGGCCGTTACGCTTTCTGCGCTCGCGCAGTGTAATCGCAGGACTGCACCGCTTTTACCACTTTTGGATTTTATAATTAACAACTGTACGTTACGTTAACCTGCTTATCCCGTAGGAATGTAGAGCTTTCTTCACTATATCAGATAAATTAATGCACCACTCGTCTGAACTAACATGACACCTAAAGGCCTATTGAATTTCTCATAAAACAAAATTTCGTCTATTTTAAAAACGCCGATACGACTCCAAAGAAACGTATTTTTCGATAATCTATGATGCAACAGAGGTAAGATTCGACACTGTTTCTGATGCACAGATTATGAACTCGATAACGCTCAAGAGGCTCGACGGACTCGAGAAACGATCAAAAGGCTCGAGAAACGTATCTAGAATGAGATATGCCTATTCATTATTCCACCGTCGTTCTCGTCCGTTTCTTAGGTTCTTTATACTACGAGTCCTAAAAAATCTAAGACCACTAGTAACCAAAGAAATTATTAAACTTTGGTGTGATTGCTTATTTTTAACATTCGGAAAGTCTAGTCAGACGCATAATATGGTATGTAATGTTATTATTTCATTAATTGAATATAGTTTTGAGTACTATAAAAAATAAAGAAATAGAGAAAAAGCAGCCCTTGCCGAGTTTCTTGCCAGTTCTTCTCGGTACAAGGTAGATTTACGAACCGATGGAGTAGCTCTCGACTTTCACAAGTGCTTGTAACAGCCTAGACTGAATAAATAATTTTGATTTGATTTCATTTGAAATATTTAACATTCTGCAATCCTTCTACATTAGCTCATATTTTCCATCCAAGTATTTTTTGCACAAAGTAAGGTTTTCTCACATATCGCTAATGTTACTGAGAATTATTGCAACGAAAATCATTTCATATTCAATCCCATAACTCATAAGTGAGCATCAAATAAAATAAGCCGCTAATAAGTCTATTATAAGCTGTTATTAGCCGGTTACTAAGTGTTAGTGGTAAGCCGTCCCTCTTATCAAGATCGTCAATATGGCTGACACACGACACCAAACTCGATTACAATTGTCGCTATGACTAAACTTACGGGAATGATAAATTTAATTATTTCTGTTTCTTACACTCTCTTTGCTCTTTGCGGGCTCTTTGTGGTAGTTCTCATAAAATCACACAAAGAATAAATAAATCACAAAACTTGTTTTTTTTTTCAAAAAATAGAATGTTTTTAAAAAGTTACAAGAAAAAGGTCTGTATGATAACTGCCCAAAATTGATGAACCTTTTTTGTGGCTTAAAGTAGGTTTTATGTTTGAAAAAAAAAAGATACTTATAAGTTTAAACTGAGAACCTCCTTTTTTGAAGTCTGTCGAGATACCAAAACCTTCTCCGATGTATAACAAATAAGTTTCTGAAAACCGGACCAAAATCGTCGCGATAAAACATACATACACACGACATGACTTTAAATACATACATACGGGTCAAACTGAGAACCTCTTCCATTCTATGAAGTCGGTTAAAAACACTTGGTGTTCAACATGTATAGTATTAGTACAAACGTCTTCTAACCCTTGTTTATTATTAAGAATAGAGAAAAAACTATCGTATCGTGCAGTTTTTTTATTGTTATACGAGTAACTTCGATTAGGGTTCAATACGGAACCCTCCGCGTAACGATAATGTTAGTGATCTCCCCGTGGACCCCTGTATAGTAGCACCCTTGTTTAATGCGACTAGTACAGTCGCGTTGAAAACGCTCATCGAAAAACCTTAAAGAATAATGTAAGGGCTCTAAGATGCAGCGGTTAGCGTGCGTGATGTATTGTTGATGATGTTAAACAACTTAAAAAGCTGATCAGTGGATGGGTGGCCAACATGAATTTATTATCTTGAATTGCTCCGTACTGCAGAACTCATATAATCGTTGGTCTCGGCTGTATATGCAGTTGTTTGACCCATGAATGCTTATTGTGCTCACATGGTAGGCTATGCCATATCCTTCGCGGTTTCTTCGGAGAAGGTCTGTGCCCTAATACTTGTGGAAATTGATAAACTGATGATATTTGTCTATCTACCTACATACAAGATCGAGAGGTTTTCTTAAATTTCATCAATATGTCAAACAATAGTAATAAAGTAGTCGCATTTCATGTATTTTTCCATTCATATTAATATTTTCAATAACCTGCGAAGCTTATGAAGATCTCGAAAAACATGTGCGTTTCTGGGCAGACTTTTCACGCATAATATACTAATTAAAGCGTCGAAAATTGAAGCCCTCAAATAGATATGAGGTTAGGATGTAGTCTCGATCTGATTTATTTTATATCCGAATAGGATTAAAAATAAATACAAACGTGTAACACTTTTGTACACACCATTACAACTCTACAATCTCACTTAGGGTGCGATCACACTTGTAATTGACTTATCTGAAGTGCTTTCTAAATTGATCCGCAGACCAATTGTCGATGCGTACATTTACACTCTATACTATTGAAATAAAATCTAGTTTCGTATATCAATGTGTTGCTCGCTATTTAGATTATTATACGTGGTTTTGTACTAACGGGATTTGGTGCAATTGTTCTGTATTTGAATTGTTTATTTGTAATTGGGTTATTTGATAATTTGAATATAATTATAATATCACAACTGTAGAGTAAACAATTCAAATGTATGCGTCTAAAAATTATCATAAGAAATAAGGTAAATGTGGCATTTAAGATCCGTGTTCTAATAAGGCACTTCTGAAATTTTATGCTAATACACTTCTATTCATGTACAAAATTTACTCACATATGCATATACGGTGTTATGCATGCATATGAAAATCTGTGCCGTAGTTTTTGAGTTAATAGCGAACGGACAGACAAAGCGTGAGATAAAATACCTCTCTCAGATATAAAGGCCCACCCGCAAATGTTGCCATTTTCTGCGAACGAGACAGAACAATTCATTTTGTCACATCGCAACCCCTGTCCCTTGAGAATCCTCCTGTTTCAACTTCCTTTAATATACTCAACAATGTGCTGTCATTGATATTATATTGGATCTTGTTGCTTAATTTGTTGTTTTTGCTTTAATCTCGAGTTTGAGTATATAAATAGCTATTATTTTTAAGTAAGTAATTTGTTGATTTAAACCAATTTATATAGTTCAGTTGTCTTACAGTTATTTTTTGGGATATGAGAGAATACAGGAGTCTACAGCTACCGAGTCATAGACCGTTTTGTCTTTGATTTACATCGTGAATCTTATTTGAATTCCTTTTGAATCCACATTATTACTAAAATGTTTAGTAACAAGTCAATATTTGAATGTTTGAAGGTACTTTGTTTGAGATAACAATAAAGTTACGTGGATAAAATAAGTATAGAAAAAAAAAAAGATAAAAAGTAAAAATAAAATCTTTTTGGCTGTAAAAAAATTACCATAAATCCAATTACTAACTGGTGAGAATGAAAAAAATATATATATTATAAATCATCGCATACCATTGAATGGCAGAAAGGGTAAAGTAACAAGGGGTACGACTAATCAAATTGTAATAATGCCCTCCATTATTTTATTGGGGGAAATTTAATTTTCGTCCGCGCTAATGTCACCTCTCTTGGGAAAGGCGGGAGTATTGTCTATGGCACTGCCCGTCTTTATGGTTGATTTGGGAATAGAGTGTTTGTACTATGGTGTGATTCTTTTTTACGGTTTTGCGATTTTTTTGGTCGGCAAATCGATTTGAAACTTTTATTACTTAAGGTAGTGTTTGTCTTTATTAAAAACTAGCTGTTTTCACGCGACTTCTTCGGCGTAAATTATAGCCAATATTACCCGCGTTTAATGTTCCCAAGATTACCCTCTACAAACAAACAAAGTTATATCTTATATAAGTAGAATTCGTTTTGAAATCTTACAAAAATAATAATTAAATCATTCTTGTCACATTTACAAGTTCAGTTGAATATGAATACTTTTTACTATTTATTATGGTACAAATAAAAATGTTCTTACAACAATTAATATAGGCAATCTAATGTGTTACTGAGTTTTTATTACGCAATTTATTTACTCTATTGATATAGTTTCTTTTACCCGAATATAGCCCGGTAGAGATTGCGACCTTAGCGATATGGCCGCCTTTTTGTCTTAAATATGAGTGTTTCTATATAAATATTTCATTATAAAGTATATTTATTTATTCATTTTTAATAATCAGCTTCTTCCGCAGGTACTACGAGACAGGTAGCTTCAAGGCAGGAGTAATAGGCGGCTCAAAACCTAAGGTAGCCACTCCCCCTGTGGTTGACGCGATCGCCGCTTACAAGAGAGAGAATCCCACGATGTTTGCCTGGGAGATCAGAGATAGACTCTTGAGCGAGGGTATATGCAGCCAGGATAACGTGCCTTCTGTGTCCAGTATCAATAGGTAAGATCCATTATCAATCAATCAATCATACAATTCAATTCAGGATCAATCATTACCTTAAAGAAGACCGTTACAACTTTAAAGGATATTAGCCAAATATAGTTTCCGTTTATAACATAATGATTATTTTTTTCGTTTGAATAATAATAACATAATAACAATGAAAAGGAACGATTTGATTGTTTGTTTGCATTGAATAGGCTACGAAAGTACTGAACTGAATTAACGATACCCCACAGGCAAATTCTCAAGAAAATAACTAGTCTAGTAATCATATAATACTCGTAACATATGAATTATATCATAGAAAAGGCGCTACAGGAAGCAGGTTGTTGGAAAGGTATTGTCGTTTCCACAAATACCCATTAAACCCACCAGTTCCCTTTTTCTATATGTCAAAAGTTACCTCCAACGAAACTATAAATAGTTATGATAGCATATAAGCAGACTACCCTCACCTAAAGTTGCCCGAACGAACCTTCTCGGGAAAAGTTTCAGAGCGCATTGTAATCCGAACCCTTTTGTGTTTTATTGTAGACATAGTTTTGAACTGATGAGTCAAAAAAGAACGGTAGGACTAGAAAATTTAGTCATGAATAAAAACTTTTTTATGGATATTAAATAGGTATTGATTTGTCAGTTATATAAAAAGACAAAAAAAATATTATAAGATACTTTATATTTGTAGAAAATTTTATATGACTGTATAAAAGCAGGTGATCTGTAAAGCTAATGTCGGTAGGCTTTGTCATTACTAGGGCGTGCAATATTCATCTTTTAATATTGTCTTATTGAATATCTTACATAAATAAAAAGAATTTTCGAATTTAATAACAAAAAATATTAAAATGAGACAATATCTCATGCGCTTCAGCAGCTGTCATGATCTTCAATGTAGCTAGCTCCATCTTTTAAATTAGCTCCTTGTAGCTTTTTAAATTAGCTCCCATTGGGTACTAATATAACTCATGATAGTTTTACATATAATAGAGTATTACTCATTTATTATATTGTTTAATGAATTTAATGAATCAGCCGTAAGCAGATCTAATATCACAATACGATTTCAAAATATTATACATATTTAATAATTTTGTATTTGCTTTCATTGATATTTTCAAGAAAAATACTTAAAATTTAATATTAGTCTATATTTTCATGTCAACTGAAAGTTTAAAATATTTGAAAACATTTTTTCGACTGTCTAAAAATACGTTACAAACAAATGCTTAAGAAATTTGTCAATTCCGCTAGGTCTCGGGCAGCTGTTTGTTTGAGAAGTCGCCGAGATTGCGAATGGTTAACGGTTCGAGTCCCGAAATAGGTACCTTGGAGTGGTGATTATTTAGGCATTTTATTTACGCTCTTAAAAATTATGGTATTTTTTAAATTATACAAATGTGATAAGAATTATTAAAAAAAAATCTTAACAATAAATTGGTCCAAAGTCAGCATCATTATTTTCGTGGCCGTACTATCAAGGGGTTGCGTGACAGAGAGCGTTTTCCGGAAACGCGGACGAGGAGAATAAAGATGGCGGCGCCGGAAGTCGTGACACGTGCTCTGCGCGCCGGACATCCCCTCCCTCGCATCCATTGAATTATTGCTATACACCAACAATAATAACCATGATGGTAGCTTTATCGGTTTTGTAGTGACATAAGAAAGATTTTAGCGGTACGTTACGGATTATTAGTCTTGACAAGATATATCAGTTAGCTGTGATGATTTTATATTGAAAGATTTACTCTTATTTGATTGTCAGTTGACTGGATATCATCACAAATATTTTGAGTGTTTGCTTTTGATATTAATCGAAACACCATACACTTCAAAATAAACCAACTCGTTATAACTTTAGGTTACAATAATAACAGAATTTCTGCATTAACAGTACAGAGATTTAGAATTCAAATCAATTGGAGAATAGACGTAAATGTAAGAGTATTATAAAAATACTGCTTATGTTTTTCTAACACCTACGTAAATCATATTATCCTCTTACAACTTTAATAAAGTGAAATCAATTATCACGTCAACACGATACATGATACAAATAGCAATAAAACCAGATAAAACTCAGGAAATCATATGCCAATTTATCCATGGCAAACAAAAGATAAAAGCAAAATTAATAAACGGTAGCGTATAGACATTTACACGTATCAGATATGAATATTGACAAGATTATAAGGCGCAATTTGCACGTAACAATTTTATCTTATCTGGTAACATTACGATTAGTAGGATTTTCTCTAATGCTAGCAACACTCGAGCATGAGTGGCCATTGTAGGTGAAATTGCGGTTAAAGTTTAACCTTTCTCGTCGGCTTGCCTTTGTAATGATATAAAATTTACAATACTTTGTGTCCTTTATTGAATTAACTCTTTTTGATTTTATTAAAAAGTTTAATATCAAATAAACCATGAGTGTAGTCCCTGGTCCATAAGCCAACTATGATTTTTCAGGATTATGAATTTTAAATTAATGCTCAGGATGTTATATCATCTCTGAGGGTGGATTGAGCAGCAGCAGTCTCCCAAACACATAGAACAAAGATTTTTTTTGTATTTTTGTGTTAGCGATTTAAAGATTTCACTTATGTGCTTAATGTAAAAATCATTTAGTTTTTGATAATTTATTATGAAAAAAAATCTATATATTATTTGATTCGATGTCGATCATAGGAAAAAACCCTAGCAGTGAAGCGGCAGCACTAATTACTGTTGATGATGATAATGAAAAATAGTACCATGAATCTAATTTTAAGAACAAAAGAAAAAGAATCACAGAATCCACATAACAAAAACTATTATACAACTCTTATACGAGGGTCAAACTGAAAGTTCTTAGAAAATCAAAAACTGATTACATTAGCCAGTTATTAGTTTTATTATATCTTTTCAAAATATTGTCCATTCACGTCAATACACCGCTGCATGCGATGGAACCACTGGGAAAAGCACTTTGCCCACTCGTCCTTAGGGGTCTCTTCAATGGCATCGCGATACGCAGCCACCGCTTCTTCAGCATTCATAAACCGCTTTCCTTTAAGTTTTTCTTTAATTTTTGGAAATAAATAAAAATCACAAGGCGCGAGGTCGGGGCTATACGGCGGGTGACCCAGTAATTCAACGTTTGATGTCGCCAAATAGTCGATCGTTCGCTTGGCGGTGTGCGACGAGGCGTTGTCGTGGTAAAGGAGGATCCTACTGCGAGGTCGTTTCTCTCGAACTTTTTCCAAGACAAGTGGCAAACAATTGGTAGTGTACCATTCTGCAGAAACTGTTTTTTGATCCTCTAACACAATTGTTGCAAAATGACCTATCCTTCCAAAGAACGAGGCCTCCATTTTTTTTTCCGCACTTCGATCTCTCTTCACTTTAGTTGGCAACTCCTCGAAAGGAAACACCCACTGAGCAGATTGTCTTTTGGTTTTAGGATCATAACAGTAAATCCAGCTTTCGTCACCTGTTAGTATGTCGAACACAGCATTTGAGTCACCTCCGTTAAATCTTTCAATCATTTTACGACACCAATCCACACGATGGAGTTTTTGAGCCTCAGTCAAATTATGAGGTATCCACCGGGCGCAAAGCTTCCTGACCGCTAAATGTTCGTGGAGGATTTTGTGCACTTGACTCATACCGATACCTAAGCTTGTCCGAATCTGTTGATAGGTCACTCTTTTGTCAGTCTCTATCATACGCCGCACAACACAGATGTTATCTTCAGTCGTCGCCGTAGAAGGCCGTCCCTCACGTAAATCATCAGTGAGATTAGTGCGACCACGTTTAAACTCATTAAACCAGTTGTAAACAGTCGCACGAGATGGGGCTTCATCGTGAAAGGCCAATCGTAGTCTATCATAACTTTCTTGTTGACTTAAATGACTTCGAAAGTCATAAAAAATCATTGCACGAAAATTTTCTCGTGTTAAATTCATGATGACGTGACACAGACAATTTTCAATTTGCCGCCAAATCGTAAAACAAATGACAAATGAATGAAATATATACTCAGTAATATTGGCAAAGAGTTATATTTTCAAATTTTAGAATTATTTTTTTATTATATTGTTTATAAGTGGCCAGTTCTAAGAACTTTCAGTTTGACCCTCGTATTTAAACATTGCAACACCATCATAAAGTAATGAGTACATCGGTCAATTTAAAGGGAGCTCGGAGTTCATCATTGTTCAATGAAACACTATTATTGGTCCCGATAAACAGAGGGGAATGAATTTAAATCGTATTACTTCTCGACTGGTAGTAATGGACCGTCTATTTTTTATTTATGGGTACCACTTTGTGCTGATCAAATGGGAAGTGACTTTTTTCTTGTTATTATTACATTCTTTGCTGACGTGAAAGAATAACATACGAGTACATTGTATCGGTTGCTACTAATTTAAGTCAACTGAGAAAATGAATTAACAACCTGTCACTATTTCAAATTATGAGATGAGTAAGAGAGCACAGTTTTATTCATGGAATATTGAATACCTATTAAATTAAAGACATACAGCCTATTTTGTCAATCTGATTTGTTTTTATTTTTTGATAAATTATAAGATCGCGTCAAATAATGATGATTCATTTTCATATTTGGTAAATTTCAAAGTTAATGCAGTTTTCTGAATTATGGAGAATCTATTTTCATTGAAATCTACCAAAACTGCCTAAAAGCTACCATCGATAAAATTTGATTTATTGTAGTTATTAACATTGAAAATTCACCGCATCCAAGATGAGTTAATTTTAAAGCCATTCCGATGGTGGGTGCGGGGTCGATTCTCACCCCTAAGTGGACGAGACGATGCCGACACGGGGCCGACACGTGACCGACGCGTGCCCGTAATGCGCTACGGAACTCCAGACGGGGCTGTGTAAGGGAAAATATAAAAATCTATTTGAATGGAAGTGAGAAGTCGAGACCACTTGTAGGATAACCAAAGCTTTAGATCAATGGGTATTTAATCGAACGTCTCATGGTATAAGACTTAAATAGGTTCAAATACTGCGTTTCTTTTTTTTTATCTACAACAATATTATAAAGAGGGAAAGTTTTATTATTTGACTGTGTGTCGCTGCAAGAGCTTTGTTACAGTTACCAAAATATTAAAAATATTTGTTAGTGTTAAAAGATTCGCGGGGCTGCAGTTAATTATACAATGAAAAGCGGAGATCTTCTATAGGTTATTCATTAAACGATGAGCGCCTAACTTCCATAGTATTTTCTTGAAAAAGTCGCTTTTGAGATAAGTATTATTTATTTATCACTTTTTAAAAGTTTGAAGTCAGTTCTATTTTTTTTAAGTTGAATCATATCAAGTTAAGTCCCTTGGATAGTAGGTAAAGACGCATTGAAGGAAATTAGACAGAAAAATATTTCCTTAATTACTTACTTTATATTTATTGACTCATCACAGAATACAATTCTTAGTAAGTTTATATTAAAACTGGGATTAGAAAATTTCAAAGTCTTAGGAACAGCGCCGGAATTTATTCAAATATAACCTTGTGACGTTCAGAATACACAGGAAGAAATGAGTTATAACGAAATTACCATTTGTCTCATTTTATACGTGACATAGTAGCGATAATAAATAAATTTGAGAAGCTCAACAGTTATGTTGGGCTATGTTGGTAGAGCATAGCGTCAGACCTCAGGCCATTTTATTTTAATATTGTCTAATGAGAAAATTAAAAAAATAAACTAATCATAGCAAAACAAGATAACTGTCCTCCCAAAAAATCTCGTAACAAAATTTACTCAACGCATCTTAAAAAGAAAATTACTTCTCTAGAATTGTTGACACATTTCAGTCCCCCATCAAAAATGATTCTAACTTAAATTATCGCGCCTCGACAAATTATTCAGTTTGCCAGCGCGGCGAAAAAATCCAAATGTCAAATTGGGGTTGCCAGAGTTATAGCTTCAATTACCCGGGCTGTCCGATTAAAAATGTCTTGGCGTTTTGCAAGTTGGCTCTTTTCGACATTTTTTCATTTTATTATTATGGGGCATTTTTACGGGTAACCAGTGCGGTCGGTTCGATTTTTGTCTAAATAAAAAAGTATAACATTATTATGTACAATAAAACCTTATAAATGGGAAAGTTTATTTTTTGATAGGTTCTTTACCAGTTAAAATCGAGTTTTCAAACAAATGCTTATGTTAGAATGAGTTACTCTTTTGGGGATTTAGTTAAATTGCATCACAGAAGCATTTAGCCCTAACGGCGTGATGCTACGGGTAACTACTAGTTTTCATACATTTGCATGACACACGAAACAGAGTTAATATAACCATTCTCGTCTATATATTATGTTTAGAAAAACCAAAGGAAAAACGAAATTCACTCACTCACTCATTACGAAATCTAAGAAGTTTCTCAAGTGCTAGAATTTTCAAATTTGGGATAGGGGTTCTTTTTTGGACGAAGTTGCTAACTAAGGTGGGATTTTTCAAAATTCGACCCTTAAGAGTATGTTATGGGGGTTGATAATTTGTTTGACATCTTAATATTTGATAGCAATGCGTATAACCACACAGATGAAGTTATGGGTAACAGCTAGTACCGAATATATGAAAATAATCAATGCAGAGCAGGATGGGACGGTCTAAATGTAAGCGCCGCACAACCCTATATAATCCGTTTCAGATATAATCAATATTACATGATAGTTTTTACCATTTACGTACACACAACAGCACAACAGGTTACAACAATATCAAATTCCCGTGATTGATTTTGAACTCTAGTCCCTCAGTCACACTAGTGAATATATTACTCGTAAAATTATGTGAAGAAGTTTCACAGTTTTGAATAACCTTACTCTAATTAAACTTGTGATTAAGTAAAAATTTACATAAAAATAAGTTACAAACTTCTATGTGTAGTAAAACTTCTCATGCAATAGATTAGTTATAAACAAATAGAGAAAAACTGGTTGAAAAAAAAAGTATTATTAATGCAAAATATCAGTTTTTTTCTGTTAAATTAAACATTTCTCTCATCTTAGTTTAATGGACAACAATTCAGATTTCGTTCACCATTTTTCTATCTTATAATCCTTTCTTTAATAATTACTGTTAAAAAAAAATATTTCTTTCATAACCAAATAACTTAATTATCAATCTTAATTATTATATTTTCATAGTATAAAATTCATTTTATTTCCCATAAAATAATTTCAATGGATCGCATAAAATGCCATAACTAACAATGGAGCACATGCAGCAATAATGTTATGGTAAAAACATGGCGCAACCCTTCTACAGGAAAAGGATATCATAACTCCCTTTTTGCGAATTTGTTCCCGGGATATTTTGCATTTGGATACGGGAGGATGAAAAATTGGATATTATCCGGATCCCTTGACGGTTTCACGTAAATTATGTTAGTGTGTAAGATGTTATTTATATATATAAAAAAAACTAGCTTTAGTCCCGATTTCATCTGCTTGGAAATAGTATAATGTCTACTTATAAATTTGCGTTTTTATCGGGGATTTTATTACAGTTTATTGTGTTTTTATTTCTATTGTTCATATTAGTGATTGAGTTTATTATTATAACTTTTATAAAAATATTTTTTTTAAATATATAACAACATACATACACTGCTCAAATCCCAAGATGTGAATCTAAAGCCCCCGTATTATGCAGTATCTGAGACAACGTAGGTATCACAACACCCAGACCCGAGAAGATATAGAAAAGTTCATTTTCTATATTGACACAACCGGGAATCAAACCCGGGATCTCAGAGACGGCGACACCTTGAAACCGGCGTGCGAACCACTCGGATAACGGGGTCGTCTTATAGTTAGTATATTCTTATAAGAATGTAAGAAAGCGTTACTCTGATGATAATTAATCTGATGATAAAGACTATTTACCCCCTTTCTACGATCTCACTCTGTTTTTATAACAACCTTTATCAAAATCGATTCAGCTGTTGAAGCGTGAAAGCATAAAGTATCTACAATAACTTTCGCGTTTATGATATTATTAAATGTAGCTTTATACAGACATCATATTAATATTAATTGATATTTAATAAATACAGTAAATTATGCCCTCTATATAAGTTGACACTATAAATATTATCTAGCGGTCGTATTTATTGACATTATTCTATACCACTACCATGTTACCATGGGGTCGATATAGATTTGAAATTGCTAAATATTTAACAGAATAAAATTAAATATCCTTATAAAATTCATAGAAAAATTGACAGTGCTTTTTAATGACAAAATTCTAATAAACTACTCAATAAATTACATAAAATAAAATTCAATACTGTAATACTTGTTGTTTCTAATTATAAATTATCCACGAACAAAATTATCCGAAAGGCTGAATGTCATCCATCAACGGAGCCCCTTACGACTCTATTACTGACTAATCCGACCTCTGATAACTTTGCAAAACAATTTTTGCATATGACAACCCCGGAGAAGCCGGCCATAATTCATAGAGAGCACACCACTATCCATCATGGCGGAATGAACTGTCAACTCGCGCGGGAAAATGGTGATACAAAAATGCCGACGTTGCGTTAGGAGCGCATAATTTTTTACGCATTTTTTTAATTATTTTCGTCTTGCAATCATAATATAATCTTAATTAATCTTTATTTAGACATTGGTGTGTAAACTCATATAAAAATATTTAAACCTTTTCCATGGTTACTTGTATTGAAAGAGGAATTTCAATAGTTCTAAAAAATTTATCCTATGCCAGTAATCATAGTTTTTTTTTTTTGCTAAAAAAGGAGAATCACTTTAACTTACTTTTTCCTAAAATATTTTAACCACAACTTTTATCATACAAAACTACTAATAAATTGATATTAAGGGCAGTGCACACTCGTTTTTTTGCCGCAAACGTATACAATGCATACGGAAGCGTAACAAATCGCGACGACCGCTCTGTATATTGCTAAAGGATGTTGCGGCGCGTGCTAGAGATTCATTGCATCGCGAAACCGCGATTTTTAGTGGAAAACTTTTTTCGAGGGGTCCTGCGTCCCGCTAATGGAACAGTCGTGTCATCGGTAATAATTGCGTTCAAATTGTAATTATTGTGTGTGGGAAACTAGCTTTATATTTGTATATTTAATGTTATATCTGAAAGTTCAATAATTGAAAAAGTGAAAATAACATTTATTCGGGCAAACGAAATGATACTTTCGATACAATTTTTAAATTTAAAGTATTTTTCTATAAGATAGATATTGGTTTAACCTAGTGAATGTCTCCAATCGCCTTAATTTGTTGCCCGTTAAATTCAAAATTTATCATAGTAACTTGTTATTATGCTTTTTTCATGTTATCACGAAACCTATACAGTAAATAGTACAATTCTGTAAAAAACACCCCGACCTAAGACAATATAGAAAAGTTCATTTTCGATATTGAGCCGTCCGTGAACCGAAACTGAGACAAAATGACAATTAGCAATTGGTGTGAGAGTCATTAGGCTTCGGAGGTATAATTTTAAAATCTTTAATAAATAGAATCGGTTGAAAGTAGATATGGTATAGAAAATTTCAATATTGTTATACACCAACTGATGGAAGATTATCCTTTTGTCCGTAGGATTGTTCGTAATAAAGCAGCAGAAAAAGCGAAGCATGCACACAATCAACAGCAGCAGCAGCAACAGGAGCAGGAGATCAGTTCAGCGCAAGGCAGTGTTGTGTCGGTCAGTATAAACATCCTCTATCATCATAAAAGCACATTTACAGCAATTAATGCATGGAAAAAGGGCCATTACTTATCACACCGGCCTAATCCGTTTTGTAAAATGCTAGCGACTGCAGGGCTTTTTCCATTGGACAATACCATCATCATCAATCCTTTTACGTCCCGTTGTTCCATGTCATATTATTATACGGCGGGGTTTTCTGCAACTCAATACCTTGTGCTTATTATACGTGAATAATGGGATTGCATCATCCTCCAGGAAGCCCATGAGTCCTTTAACTTTGCCGCATGCCTCCTTTAATATCCATGGGCTACCCAGATATGTAATCCTATGTCTTCAAACTCCCCTACATTCCAGTAGTACGTGAGCGCTTATCTCTTCAGCGTCCAGGCATGCCTGTTTGTTCCATGTTAATAGTTAAGGAGGATGGGCTGTGATCCTCCATGCTGGTCCAATTCGGATTGGAGGATATTAACAACTGCAAATGCATCTGGGACCAACAGCTTTAAGTGCCTTCCGAAGCACATCTTGAGATAATAATTTTTGGTCACCCATCCCGTGCTATACCCTTGTGGAAGTTGCTTAACAACAACGATCGCTGGCCGCGGCGTTTATCCACTACGCCACCGAGCTACCACGCAAGCCCATTGCGTATTGTGGTATTCTACCGACTGCAGATCCAGAAAGACTTTCCATAAAACCATGCCATACTATAACTATTTTAACAAAGTATCAATCACGGAACAAATATATACATTCCCTTGGTGTTTTACCCAGGTGATAACTCATGCCGGTAATGCTCCTGGCACAACTGCCGTACTGTCTCCGACGACGGATCAGCACGTCACCAACACAGGCAGTTACAGCATCAACGGAATCCTGGGCATTGAACAAGTAGAAGGTCTACATAACGGCACCACCGGCCTTAAGAGGAAGAGACACGAAGACCAAGGTAAATTTATAAAGAAGATTAAAAACCATTAAGACACGAAAATAAATTAAGTTCATAATATATACTTTATTCTGATAATAATGTTGTGCTATTACTTTGCAAAACCCTAACAGTTCTATTAATAAACAAAATTTAGCGTTGGAGTAAATTTACGCTGTGACTGCATTTAGTATTAGTCAAAATTCATATTATTAAACAGACAATTAGCAAAGGTTAGCCCACAGACTAAGAAGAAGATACTAGGTTAACCTAATACGAGGTTCTAAGGGAGGAATGTTTACTCTTAGAAGGGAGTAGGTTTGCTTATTCTTTGTATAATATAATAATAATAATTCTTTATTTTTTCTCTTGAAAATGTACATTGCACAGATAGTATCAGTATAGAGTTTACAAATCACAATTTTCTTGAGACTAATTTTAAAATTGCAATTTTAGCGCAAATTTACTCTGGCGCTAAACCTTGTTTATTAATAGCACTGTTAAAGCCTATCAAAAGGAATAATATATATTTAACCGTTTGTTAATGGATAACGCATTTCATATAAATTTTCGTGTACCTTTTGAAACTTCAGTATCAACGAAACTAAACCATAAATCTATATACATATATATTAAAGCGGAAAGATTTGTTTGCGTCGTATAGGTTTTAAAAATTCGTTCACCTGGGGAAAGCTACATACGCGATTGTCATAGGATATAATTTCGTGGGCGATGTTTCGGAGAATATTACTATAATAATAAATTTGATAATTAAACTGGGAATATTAACAAAGTTAATATTACACTCATTGGCTCTCGCAATTCTGTAATTAATTACATAAAATTACAAACTCTGTGGTTAAAACAGCGTAACGATCCTCTAGGGGGCCTTTGATCTAATAAACTATAGACGCTGGTTAAAGAAAACTTGTAAGTTATGTTACAAAGATACTTACAGTATCCCGTAGTCATAGCGACGAAAAAGATTAGCGATGGGCATGATTATCGATTATCGACGTTATCGATATAAATGTTTCTTGCAAAAATCAAAAGTATCAACATACTCTAGATATAAAAAAAAAGTTGAAATACTAAAACCCGACAACAGCTAAATCACGATCTAATTTTTAATGTAACGTAACAGCCTTATAGCACGCGAACAACTATAAAGCTTTTAATGATACCTTATTTGTCCAGTTATAATGAGTATTTGACAAGATAAAAGGGAACAGGTGAACATTCTTACATACCAGCCAAAATCATAACCTTTTTTCTCTTTGCCGTAGTCGGGTAAAAATATTATATAAATAGTACAACATTATCAAATTCAAATTTAAACTTATTAGTGGTTAATCAAAACCGCGCCCGATTCATACAAGCAAAGAAATCAAGCATTTAAACACATTTATACACAGATTTGCGTTCCAAATCAATAAAATTTCCACTTTAAATGTATAGCACGAAAAACAGAAAACTTTTTAGAAAATTACCGGTTAACATTCACGACGGAAATCATGCATGCAGCATATAAAATAACAAGTAATAAACCGTAAAATTATAACCATCGTCAGTTTATTAGCTGTGTAGGTAGATTTTATGATGAGGTAAGGTCAGGGCCTTCTGCTAAATTTTACGAATAATCGCATCTCCATAAAGTCTCAAATTAAACTACTTGCATTTAGCCTTTGTATTATCAAGCTGAAGTCCAATATTATTTATGCAATATCTTCCTCACAAAACAAAACTAAATTACAATTTTACAGTGATATACACAAAGCATCGTTACATATTATTATAATTTTTATCGACAAATTCTCATCTCTATTATCCTTTCAGCCACACTGCTCACTGCGCGGAACACCTAAGATTTACGGAGCTATTAAATTTACTGCAACCGCAGTCGTACTTTATTATTATAACTTTTCTAAAATAGCTTCTCGATAAAAGCAGTATTATTAAAAAAAAAGGAAATGTCTTCTACCTTCATAGTAATCACAACATTTTCTCCAATTATATTCACAAAAAACGTCAGTTCTCCATTATAACTGTGCCAAATTACATAATCCTCCGCCCACACAATTTTTGTAAAAGAAGAGCCAATCCAAAGCTATTATTCAAATCTTTAATTCATAATTAATACAAAAAATATTTTATTGTTTGTTACGCAGACGAGAATCGGGACTTCAACAGTCATTCAGAAGATGACGTGAAAAGACAAAGGAATCATTACAATGGCGACCAAATCTACTCGAATGTAAGTACATATGAATTGTTTATAGCATTAAAGGCTGCCTCGCTAGTGAAGTCATTTTGAAAATCCATATTACTACATAATTTTCATATAAGATTTGATACAATAGTCCATCAGAATGTGAGATTGGTGTTTATGACATATCGTATAATTATAAACAAATTGTTTAATGATCATAATGCTCTGTCTCTACAATAATTATTTTAATGGACCCCTCTATTACGATAAATAACATATTATTAAATGAAAAGTATTTCTTTCCAATCAGCAAGTTTACTATAACACCTCTCTACTTTAAAAAATTTTATATAAGTAAGCAACGTAAATGTTTTTAACACCTAGGTAATAATAATTACCTACGAGAAAGTCGATGACAAAGTATTACTACCACTAATTAATTGGTACACACAGCCACAGACGGTTGTTAATCTAAACTGCTGTAAGCCGGCGCGAATTGCCGCGTAAATTCGGCCCGCCATCTTGTCGCCGTGACAAATGGCGGCAAGTAACGATGCTTCCGTCCGCCATTACGTGTCATCGAAGCGAACGAGATTTTGGAAATGGTTTAATTAGATTTTAGCGATCTGTTGATTTTGAAAAGTTTTCTTTTATTGTAAGCCAACTATTAGCTGTTTAACATAATTTATTTTTAAATATCGTTTAATCTGATTCTATGGTTCTTTCTCTGTAAAAAAGCTTCAATGGTCATTATTGTCAGTCAGATGTCTTATTGTATGTTGAATTTCAGTATATGAATTTTAGTTATACCTACCTCTTCAATTTACACACGACTACACGTCTGGCACTCACAATCTGTTAAATTTCCTCAAGTCTATTTGCTACTTTTACTCTATGCGGGGTTGGGTTCTCGATTTCTGGGTATACATGTACTCGTATTTTGACATTGAAAAAAAATTTTTTGACAGAAAGTAGTACTCGTAACGTATCACGAAATAAAGAAATATGCAGATACTCCATTGACAAAGCATAGCTCTTAAATATTAAATAGAGAATTATGAGATAAGAAAATCATGAATAAACATCTATACATAGTATAAAATGAAGTCGCTTCCCATTGTCTGTACGCTGAGATCTTTTAAACTACACAAAGTATTTTAATGCCTTTTTTTCATCAATATACAGACTGATTCAAGAGGTAGGTTTATATGTATAATACAGAATCGGGCGAGCGAATCCGCTAGCGGAAAGCTCATATTATCATAATTATGAGACGGAAGCAAATACATCATATTTTAAAATCTTCCACAAGTTTTTACTGACTCACTTATTCACAGCTTTGGTCGTCCTCCAAGTGGAGTCTGAAAGACGAATACAAGTTGCTGTCGGAATTGGGAGGAGCAGCTGGTGGTGCCACTGGATATTACGGGGAACTGTTCGACGCCCCATATGAACACCAGGCGCATCCACATTACACACCACATTCTGGTAAGTGCATTAACACGAATTTAGCTTCTGAACCACAATTTTGTTCAAGTCAATGACATTCTAAAAACGTTTATCCAAATTGCTAGCTTATATTGTAAAAAATCCTCACAATGCGGAGATTTGCTATACGAACTATTTTGAATATAGTCGCGCGTGACATCTGGATTGCTGTTGGATGGTTGTGATGAAATAGAGCTCAGTTATAAAAGACCTCGGCCTATGACGAAATGAAAGACGCTTCCAATATACGGCGTGTCTGAATTATGTTGACTGTAGAGATGCTAATTGAATGCTACTTACTACTCAAACAAGCAACCACGTATTGTCGATACGCGCGGTTAAGCTATTAAAGGATGGCGCATCGAACGATGACGTACATGGTTAGCTGCCAGTGATACCAAAAAAGCGCGTTATGTCCCATAACCTATACATATATACTATACATAGAAACCTATTTTATTATCACGAGTTTCTCTGTGCTTCAGAAGGCATGTTAAGCTATTGGTCCAATTAAGCAGCCGGATATGCGCAATTTATTTTTGCTAATGACAAAGGAATCATTAAATGGATTTTGGCCTATATATTTCAAGAGGTCCTTCAGTGAACACATAACTAGGTACATATATGAACGCCCAAAATAATACGGGTTCATTAGATGTAGAAGATGAGCTCTATGCTGCTGTAGCAGCTCGTATAATCTAATTCGATTGCGGAGTTTAAACAAAATTTTGTTAGCTCTAGCTCATGCGTACTACAACAGTGACTTATTTTTCTTTAATTTAGTATTAAAAGTGGTACGAAAGGATTGGCACCATTATAGATTCAATTGACAGTTGAGTAATCATCAAAATTAAATATCGAAACAAATTACATTCAGCCATAACCTTACAAAGACTTCTTACTAGGTAATCAAGTGGCTAGGGCAAGTTAACGGATGTCAACTCTTCGAAGCCAACTGAACACCATCATTAGAGGTTATTCGTCACGCCCTGAAAACTGTCTGTGGTGACATGGCCTTATGGTGTTCTATGGAATTGGTTAACTGTTCCTCTGAATTCCTATAGAGACTTGACACTTGCGGTAGAGAAAGTTTGTTTTAACGGTTGACAATTTTTTTGTTGAGGAAAATACTTTGAATAATCAATTAAACGTTGATTCAAACAAGCTTACTTACAGTGAAACAGATAAATTTGCCAGTCTTGTTAGCTCTCTATCACTGATTGTTAAGTCTAGTCTTAGATTGGAGTCTAATCTGGTTACTTGAAACATTTTTGTCAGATATTGCCCGCTCTCCCTATTCGATTAAATTCCATCCAACAGTAGAAGCAATTAATAGGCCGTTTATGATGATGATATTTCTCAAAATATTTTATACTATTTTAAAGTATTTGATTTGTAAATATTTAATGTGATGCGTCATGAAATATAACGTGTTTGGTAAGTGTTCCGTTAATTAAATAGTAAGAAAACTCCTGGACTATTTGAATGAGGCTATAGCAATCCATCTTGTGATTTATATAATCAAAAACTTAACTCCACAGAAAGATAAACATCAATGGGAAAACCTTCTAAAACAAATAGTAAATGAAACGTATTGCCCACGCAAACCTATTGAAATTGATGGCTAAAAATAGAACGGTTGGACAGTTTTTTTTATTCCCCACTGAACATTGCAATTTCTATCTGCCAAGAGTAAAATAATAGTTGTGTAAAATTTGAGGTCAATATGTATGAGTATTATTGAACACCATGTTTATAAAATTAATAATTGTTATGATGCCAAGCACCAAATAATGCTTATTTCAAATTCAACGTTGCTTCTATCTTACTTTTTCTGCAGTTACCCTTACGCTACAAGTACTTAAAAATGAAAAAAATATTGAATCTTCATTCTGATTAATTCAAATTAAACATTATGTATAAATACGATGGTATAGCAACTTTGTATTTTAACCACTCAGTCCAAATATAATAAATACTTTCTTTCTGTGAGATACCGAATAATGCATCTGAAACCTTAGAAACCCTGAAGAATGAAACTAAAACGCTTCATCTTAAATAAAAATATCACCATCGATGTTCTCAAACCTAACCTTTCCAACGAACTAGTTTTTATTTATTTAGATACGTAAATTTGATAAGCTTTCTATAGGGCAATAATAACAAAAAGAATTCGGGTATTATCGTTATTTCTGGAAGGGCAACCGCGAACGTTTGCGGTCAATACCGGAGGTCCGACTGCATGGGAAGCGAATAGTAATTTTCAATACTTAATGTCAGTGCATTCTACGGCGTAGCGGTTAGCGCATTCGATCTGCGATTGCTGATGTTAAGTGTCACTTGTAAGGGCCGAATCAGATGGGTGACCGAAAATGTATTATCTAGTCTTTGAAAGGGGCGTCAAGTTAATTAGCTTTAAAACCCAGTGACCAAGAAAAAAACCCCGTCCATTTTATGGGACATCCGTTAGAGAGGACGAATGGAATAGACTCCAAAATTACTGGACCGATTTATTAAATTCTCTCACTTACGAGAAGCTACATCATATGCGAGTGACATAGGAAAAAATTTAAGTGGACGAAGACGATAACGGCTACTTTTTTGTATAAAAAAGGATACAAAGTATTAACACGAATTAACATAAAACTTGTTTAAATTTAATTTAAATGAAGATTTGTAGAGACAAATTCCAGTATAACGTTACGTAAACGATATATCCGAAACCACAGTGTCACTACAGAATCTAATGAATGGAATGGGAAAACATCTGAGAAACAAAACTAACCGCAACATCCTCTTGTGAATGAATCTGTTCCACCCCTCCCAGTAACACGAGATGAGCTAGCGTAGACACTCGATCTACCATTAGGCCATTGTCTTACAGTGTACAAGCCGTCGACACTAGTAAAACCACAATGATTGTTTGTATGGTGACATTGTTAAAACATTAGATTAGTGAAATATTCATAATGAAAATTTAAAAAAAAAAACACTTTATCCCTGGCACTCTGTGATGGGACCAAGAACAAAGTGGATGAAAAAATATTTTTCAGTAAAGCATAGTGAATGTTAAATTAATGAAATATAATAAATGGACTGTAAATCAAGAGACAGCTCAAAGTATATGACTGATGTTTATTTATTTGTTAAAAATATATCGGTCATCGTCATCATCGATTACATACGAGATATTTTCTCTCTTTATTACTTTGCTTGAAGCAAATCTTTCCTCGTCCTTTAGCCGGTTTTTTTTATCAATTGTTAAATAAAATATTACTACTATGTCTTATAGCTGTAGTAATAACGCCAATTGTTAGAGGTTTTTTTTTACATTGATGTCAACTTCAATCGTTATAATTTTAATATGATTGCGATGTGAACATGATCGACATTTTATTAAATAATATAAATTGAATACTATAAAATTTAGGTTATTAAGAAGGATTTTAAACTAAAATTATATAAATATCTTAGAATCTTCAGTGTTGTAATACGCACCATACTAAAATTGATATTATTTGATCTATTCATTTATTTTTAGTCTGATGTAATGTTTTTCATAATGACAAAATTTACTGTACCAGAAAATGTTCTTTCACAATTCACCCAAACTTTATTCCGATCAAATAGATACTTCGAAATAGTACAAAACCTAAAATTTTTCGTTCGGTACTCAAAATATGGGTCGTAAAAGATTTATTTTATATATTATATTAAATGTTTACATATATTTAATATAGATTAATGTAGTTGTTAATACTTAAACTAGCTCACCGCCCGTAGCTTGACTCCTTTTCATTACTGGATAACTGGATAGATTGAGTGCTAAATTTCAACTCAATCTAACCAGTTATTTAAGCCACGCGATAATAAATTAATCATCCTATTTTTCATCTTTGTCTTTCATATGCATAGATGATGCATTAATTACTCATATTAATTAAATCAGTCCCTGAAGTATAGAAATTTCCTGTTGCTCTCTTTCGACTTAGTTAAAGTGGATTAAAGTAGTAATCTTCCACAGCAACGAACGACTCGACGGGGTCGAATGGACCCGCTGGCGGGGAACCACCATCGGCAGCAGCCAGTCCTGACGCCACTGCGCTAGTGGTCTTACAACCTCCAGCTCCACCGTACCCTCCTTATGCACATTATGATGGTAAGTAAATCCATAATTATCTTCAAAATTATAAAAGCAAATGTTCTGCCATTATTCGAAGAGACAAATTGAAAGAATCAGGAGGCGCGTAAACGAATACCACTAATTTGGCATTGATTGTGAACTAGAAAATTAAACACAAATAAACTATAATTGGAAATTTGAAAACACAAAATATCTAAAGTCATCAAATCAGAACAGTTTCTTAATTTTAAAAAGTTACGCGATTAAAAGTTACATCCGAAGTTCAGTTCAATTAAATCTTTTTTATGATGTAATTGATAAATTTTAAACACTGTAGCTCAGACGTAATATCAAAGAAATGACATTAATTGTAATGTTGTAAACTAGTCAATAAATTAAATTGTAAACAAGTAATTAATTAAATATCGTTTCTTTTTCGCTCAACAAGTAACTATGTCTATTTCTTTGCTTGGTCGTTGATATCGTCTCATTTTCTATTCACATTTACGTACTTTTTGGTTATTTAAAATTAATAGAGACTGACATCAATTTAAAACTACATACTATTAAATAATCTTAAATCAAACTTTTTAGTTATCGTATTGTTTATATAATTTTACGGTTGATTAACCTTAGAATAAATGAAACTCGCTTTAAAAGTTAATTTTGTACTTCAAAACTTTCATCTTAAGAAAAACAACGACCTTCCTATGTAATAAGTAGTGACTCAGTACCTAATTCCATCTAAATAATTAATCACGCAGTTTCGCATGATATAAGACACAATATATTTATATATTTAGTTGCAATATCAACTAAAAATACACTATTCTTAAGTTAAAAATACTCAAAAGCAAGTAATTTGGATATGTTTTATTAAACACCATCCAACAGAAAAACACCACAACGCTAATTGAGAGTCGTCATTTAGAAGTTGCAAATGCAATAAAGATATCAGAACGCGACCTGCCGAGATAAAACAATGAAAATAAAACAAGAGTGGCTCAACACAAAAACAGTTGAAGAATCACGCTAAAAAAGCCCAATGACTTTAGGGAAGCTTTCGACAAAGTCGAGTACGCTACTCGGAGGCACTCCGAGGAAAATCTAATTTTCTCTTCGGACCCCGCTCTACTTTCGGTTACAACATCATAAAATTCATATAGAACCACAGAGTTTTCGCACTTATGCATATTAAAGGAGGTTCTAAAATGGGCTACCGCAAGGGATTCGCTTGGGGACGCCACTTCTCTTTATGCTTTTGGTCTTTAATCTACCGCAATCCGCTTATATAGTGGGTGGTGGGGGGGAAAGCAGACATCTTTAATAGCTCATTCGGGGCTCTATGCAAATAATTTTAGAGGGGCGAGAGGGGAGGAAATCATACGGGCTTTGTCTGGAGCGCGTAACGAACCGAGACACGACTCTGTGATGCGACAGAAGTGGCTTTGAGTACTTCAAACGGGTTTGTAGGCTTATTTTGGTTATAAATATTAAACTGTCGCCGTGAAGGGACGGTGCTATATCTCAGAGTGGTTACGCATATAAAACTCGTTATGTTTCGTTTTAGGGGGCGTTGTTGTACATTAGAATTATAAATGAGTGGATATTGAAAACGTGTCATGTATTTATTACATTGAGAATATTAGGTGGAAGTTATTTGTTTTTCTAAATGATTGTTGTCATAGTGAAATACTAACTAGATAATTATAGTAAAAGTATTTTTTTTTAATAATCATTAATATCTTATTATTTATGAGTAGATTACTAGACAAAACTTTAAAGAAAAGTCATGCATCCAATCGTATCACTAAATTTCATTCTCTCCTACATAGAACGTATATTAAAAGCTTTTTTATAAAAACAAAATGTCTTTAACGCACGACAATTACGCAGACAACCTACCAAAAATGATAGCATACAATTTTCATAAAAGTTTTTTAAGTTTTATCTCAATTTAAATAAAAATAAATATTAGATAACGTATTAGATATCACCATATATTAACATTTCTCAGACCATAAGTAAATGAAACCCTTCTATATAAAAGTATGTAACAATAAAGATTGGTGTCAACCAAACATGAGAAAACATAAAAAGAAATCGTTTACTGTTTGCCAAATGTTTAGCTGTTATATTTTTGCTGACCATATTACAAATACGATATTTTTCTAGTTTACCAACAGAAACTGCTCATATTTTTACAGGTACAACAACATTAGCCAGTGAGTACGCATACGCGGCACCATACTCGCAGTACTCGCCATACGGCGGACCATACTCACACTCCGCTGCCACCGGACTACTATCCAAGTGGTAGGTTAAATATAATATTTCTTCAGAAAAACATTTGATGAGTGAGCTTTAACATCAGATAACATGAGACTGAAAAACACAACAGTAATTCATTAATAATGAATAAATTTAATTACACACGTATACTCCAGGGTTATTGATGTATAAGTTATTGTTTCTTTTTATAGTTTTATGTCGGTTTTTTTAATCATTTTTAAATAAAGTTTCATTTTGTAATTTTCTTTTAAAGAGTACCTGCGAATGGTAGTAATAATAAATTCAATGAGCCATTCTCTTGGGAAAGGTTTCATCGAATGCTTTTGACCTCACTCACATTAAGTCGTGTAAATTTTACGGGATTTAAAACGTACAAACGTTTAACAACCACCGTGTAACGAATGACGGTGTGCAGAGAATAAATCTGAAACGGTTTATCACTTGGAACCGCTGGCCTGAGCTTTACAGGTGTGCCATAGGGATATATGTTAGCACCTGTATTTTTATAAAAAGTATACGAATTGTTGTCTTTTTATTATTTGACAAATTCATTCATTTATACGACAAATCGAATGAAAGTAAAAGAATTTATGGTATGAACAGTGATCACACAATAACGATTATGTAATCTTCTCATTAGACAAAAAATAAACAATAAAATTAAATAAGTAATATATAATATCAGGTTGCTCAGATAATTATATAATGTCCTCGTATTATGGAGTATTTGCAACAGCGGAAGTATCATATTACGCAGACCAATATTAAAGAACAGTTCTTTGTCTGCATTGATCCGACCGGGAAGCGAACTAACTCGACAAAATAAATAAAAAAAATTAACTTCTTAGTTTCTGTTTTTCCAAATGCTATTTTCAAGGTGTGGCCTTAAAAAAATCATCAAAAATGTACTAAAAGTTGAAAATATCAATCACTTCTATTTGGAATCTAAAAACATTAATATAAATTGTTCTTATATAAAATGTAGCAAAAATTTTTTTTTATCCATAAAATAAGCTAAATGGTACGTAAAAATTGTTATTTCAAATAGAAACATCATGAATCCGAATAGTCTTCTGCAGGATAAAGAATCACCGCTGTTTTGATTTCGCCATCAAATTAGATGCGAGTCCCCGTTCCCTGAGGTAATACATCAAAGCTTTGGATGAGCACACAGGGATATACGGCTACTCATCAAAAATATCAAGTTTGAACCTTATATATATATTGTTTAAAGACTCAATTACATACTCTATTCAGATCCAATTCTCTAGGAATGATAGTACTTTGTTTTCATAACAAATTCTCTTTTGTTTTTTCTTAACTTTATAATGTAGCGTCTCGTAGAAAAAAACTAACAAAATGTGACATTCAGAAAAAACATTTTATAGAAAAAGTAGTTCATTAAAAACAAAAAACGAAAAATCAAATTAAAAACCTTGTAAAAACAATGCTGAATAGAATCCGCCTCTAATATATATAGTAATATTATAAATATGAAAAGTTTGATTGTTTGTTTGCATTGAATAAACTCCACTGATTTATAAAATTCTTTCACCTATTCACCTATCATACGCGGGTGACAAAAGCAATAAAAGTGGCAAAGTCGTGGAAATCAGCTATAAATGCTATTTCTTAAAGGGATTAAACTATTATCCAAAAATGTATCCTGTTAATGTGTATTACATTGTGATTACATTGAAAATTCTTACCAAATTAATACTTGTAGCACCAATCCGTTGTCCCTTGGACCTGACTATGTCCCTAAGGACCCCACAAAGGGCATGCTCCCCGGTGACAAGGAATGAATTGCAGAGCATTAAACTTAAGTGATTCAACACACGCCAGAACTTAGGGTAATGTTTACTGCGAGGTGTATAAAAGTATTGTTATTTTAGTGCTATATCTATTGTTATTTTTAAAACTGATTTTTATTTTTTTACTGTGTCAAAGGTAAAAGTAATATAATTTGCTGAAACTTATGCTTTACAAAGAATTGTTTTTGATATGTTTTTTAGAGTACTAATCGATTATACAAGTTTTATTGAACACGGAAGAGTATCCCAAAATCGGACAACTAAAATAATAAAATTATATGAACAGTCTAAACTGAAACAAGATTTATTTGTACTATTAAGATGAGCCCATTATTTTGTCCTTATGTATAAAATAAATAAAAAACAGACCATAAATCATCATGAGATCGTCATAACAAGTGCTTATTGGATATTGACGTGATGACCTCCGAGAGCGAGTAACTCACATGCCGGTTTCGAGGTATAGCCAACTCTTGGAATCTGAGCAATGTATGATATGTCGTCTAAATTTATTATAATTATTACTGTTCAGTACCATTCGAAGTTCGGAAATCGAAAAACTACACATTTTTGATCACCCATCTGACTACTAACATCAGCGAAAGTGACTTCATCTTCTTACTCATTCCGAAAGCATTTACATCGCCAATATAGAGTTACAAACGTTCTAAATTTATGTGGTTAATAAGAATTTAATACAAAAGTATATTAGAAAAGCTATGGTATTTATGGTAGTTATTAGAAAAGCTGTTTAACAGCCTTCGACAGTAGAGCGCAGTACTGCCGTAGCATAGAGCTCAAATGAAATAAAAGTTTTATTATATTTTGAAGTAGGTTTTATTTAATTGAACCTATGATTGACAGAATCGAGTTCAAGGCTGTTTTTATAACAGTGGGTTTATACTTGTTAATATTGAAATCTTTATTTTATTATTAACAGATATCAACGGACGCCGTGCGAGTAGCAGCAGTTAACGGCGATCAACAACGAAAAAAAGTGAAGTGAAAGACACTCTATTATAAAATATAAACCCTGTGAGAAATTTAGTTACATAAATCTTATCCATTCCTTTAGGAGATATCTAATTATGTAGATAAATTAATATATTGCATTATTATGTACAATTCGATATACCCCCTTTTTATTTTTAATGAGGTCAGTAAAATATTTGCTTTCTCAAAAATAAATGTTAACTTCATTTACTGATACAGCACTTCATTTATACTCATTATTATTTAGTTAAATGAAAATATTTATATGTATATTGAATGAGAGAGCCAAAGTGTAAAAGGTAAATCTTCATTAAGACTAAGATGTAAATAATGTATGTATTTTAAATGAAACTTAATGTATTTCATTCAATGTCATTATTAGTAATTAAGTATTATCTTGTTTCCCTTACCTCAGTAGATTACATTTAACGTGTAATATATTTAGATTTGAACCTTATTGTAATTGATTTCATTTTATTTAAGCTGTCCTAAAAGCACAACGTCATAGAACTTTCTTAACATTTAATGTTGTTATTCTTAATAAGTTATATAACTTATTTTTATTGTTATAAATTATATTAAGTGTGTATGTGAGGGAACTTAATATAATAGCTTCGGAACAAATATGGGAAAGTCAGAAACTAGCATGATTTAGTTATATTGAAATTACTATTGAGATTAATTGTTTCTTTTTTTTACTTTTTTAAAAATGTTAGTTTCTAGATGTCGATACATTATATCTCAACAAATATATTTCCAAATGAAGTCTGCTTGCCACTTCATTTAATCATGAAAATGAAATATATTTTTGAAATAAATGAAATGCGTTAAATTATTATTATACAATATGATACGTTCAAACATTTTTTAGAATATATTGTTCTTTTTTTATTATACGTTGAAAAAGATCTTATCGTTTCCGTCCAAGTTTTATATTATTTTAATTTTGTATAATTATATTTAAATGATATATATTTATGAATATTATTTTTGTACATATTGCCTATTTTGCCCAGATCCTACTTTTTAGTCAGATTAATAGATGCTTTTCTAATGTTGTAATGAACCAACATACAGTTTAGAGAAACGCCAAAGACTTATGCTGTAATGTCTTTAAATAAACCAGTGTATTAATTAATAACATTATTGTTTATGTGACGCAATATATTTTCGCCAAAGAGAATGACGATTGTTTTCGGGCTGGTACTCATGTAATTATTTTTATGCATTTTTTAAATTTAGAATTAAAGTAGCGCCAGAAACTAATTTCATTGTCATTGTCAATAAATTTATATCGAATATAAATTTCCACTTTTTTTAACTATTACGAAACCTATTTACGTGTTTTGCTTGTGTTTATAGTAGATTTAATTTGTTTGATTTCCAGTTTTTAGTTACAACATTAAGTTTTATAAGGTCAACCAACTCTTTAAGCATTGATGAATATATTGAGCGCCTAAATCACGTTTAACAAATATAAAACTACCTTTGGTAATGGAAACTTATAGTCCTTTGTATTATGCATTGTATTGTTATTGTATTGCAACATTAATGTATTGTTACTTTCCTAAATAAATAAATTGACTCAAACAACTGCAACTGTAACTAAAAATAAAGTACTTCAATTAAGTGTAATTAGAGTACTTCATTTTTTGTAATAACTAAGTAAAGACATTGAGCTCATACGTATCAAATTCAACAATTATATCTAGCTTTTTTGTTATCTTTCGATGATGAAAATTAATTAATTACAGAATTATGTGGCGCCGAGTGTTAAAAACGCGTAAAGTGAGTAATGAATAAAAAGCAACATTGACGCTTCTTACTCCACCTAATATGCCATAGACGATGACATAAACCTTATCTTATTTTGGTACTTCTCTTCATTTACAAATTTCTTTGTGTATTGCTAAAAAATAGTGAGTTTATTTAAAAATACATTAATTAAATTAAGAGTTAACACACAATCAAACCCGCTTTGATAATTGTATTTTATTTCATTGGCAAGAAATATATAAGAAATAAGTAGAAATGTTATTCCAAACTTTAAAAAACAAGTAAGAAATTATAGTAAATACTTAGGTGAATAAATGAGACTTCTATGAGTTTATTTTAAACGTGAACACATTTTCTATGTGCCGTAAAAAATAGTGTATCGATCGTTTATTTATTTTTGATTCTACTTATATTATTGTGAATCTATTTTATTTATTAATATTTAATGTTACACAACTCTCATGTCATCATTACATGAAATAGAGCGTCATACAGTAGTTTTACTTATTACTCGCAAATCATGTCGATAATTGTAAAATTGTTATAAACTTTCATTGTCACTTACGTTAGAGTGATTTTGACGGGGTTTTAGCCAACCTTTTCATTTCGTATTATAAGTTGAATCAATTGTATATAAAAATAGCTAAATAATTGTTATTAATCAGTATAAAAATATGAAAATATCACAAACGTGTCCTATTCTTTTTAAAATAAGGCACTTAATAAGGAAAAAAGTTATATAGAAACAATAGTTATTTATTTTGTAGTACATTTTCAATCGGCTATTTTATTCATTATTTATATAAATAAATGCCCGAAAACAAATCGTTTATAATAAATATTTTTATAATCGACGTTTAAATAACAATTTAATTTGTGAAAAAATAATATCTGTCTTAATATTTATTGAACATAGTTTCCAATCAGCTTTTATTTCTGAAAGCATATCGTTTAGTGATAATAATCAGACATTATAAACTTAGGTGAAGTAATTTTGTTTAATTTGTATTAAGTATATTTGTAAGGCAAACGCACCAGTACGAAATAAAGGCAAGAGTTTATAAATAGAGGACTTCAATTATTTTTTCCGGACTTCATTTTAAATGAAATATTTTCCTATTCCGCATCGCAGACCGAATGAGCCGACAACTGCGCTTTTGAGCTCCTCAGCCCTATAAAAAAACAAATGATGATTTGTAAGGCTGTGTTCAGACCCAACGTATAATCAACCGCAGACTCAAAGAGAGTTTAAACACTACGTTTTACGTAGGCTGCAAGCGAACGAAATGCAGTTTATTGTATTTCAATACATAACCATCTCTTCGTGCACACCAAACTGACCATTGGTTATTTCATTACCATACGTTATTTTTAAAAAAATCGATAAGGTATAGCGGCCGATTTTAGTACTGCGTCACTACGAGCCGTGGATACTGGTTATTCTGACCTATTCTGTTATACCACTCAGATATAAAAATATAAACAACAAATCACGATGGCAAAAAAAATATAATATTAGTCAGTTTTAGAAATCCTAGGTACAAGCATTCTATGCTTAAAGCAGTGATATAAACATTCAAATATATTTAGCATAAACTTATTGTCTTAAAACTATTGTCAATGTGTCAATGTCAATGTAATAGAAAATTCAGAATTGTGTGATACTTTTGCATCATGTAATCTTAATTTACTAACTTCTAAAATACCAGATAGATAATCTTCTGCAATGAATTTATCATCTTTATAATGTTTGTAAATATTTATGTTAAAACCTAACATCATGAGTAATAACGAAGAACCACCAAAGAAAGCCTGCAAACCAAAATCTGCTGAGCAACCCAAGCCAGTCTGCACAAAAGATATAAAAGAAAACTGTGTACCTCCACAAAAAACCGAAAGTAATACTAATGAGGAAACCTCACCAAGGCCGAAACCTGCATGTAAACCCAAATGTAAAAAGAAAAAGTCTGCTTGAACTACTGATAAATCGGTCTCAAGCTATTATTGAATATATTTAAAATGAACATCTCAAGTAAATAAAACAGTATGAAATCTGACGTAAAACTTTTTATGAAAAATTGTTGGTTTTCACGTAAAGATCTGGGAAAGTTAATTTTAAATGATTCGATACACTCTTCAATTTACATTAAGCCTTCAATACAGATAGCTCGCTTGATAGTGTAGTAACTACCTACAACTCGATTGGCTTCTTTTATTTTATGTCTTGAAACATGTAAATAGTCGTCAATAGATATAGCATCCTTATTATATAAAGCTTTTACATTAAATGATCAAAGCAATCAGGTCGTATCTTTTGCTCTTCTTTTATTCTCATTTTTACTTTTTCACATGGCGTCTAATAATATTTATTATTATATTAATAAAGTAATGTTATTATTATAGATTAATAATTAATTGTTAATATTACTTTACTAATAAAATATTTTCTATATCATTATCAACATTATATTCTCCCCTTGCCCTATCATAGATTTGAGATATATAATTTTGGATTAGTTTGCCCAAAGAGTATTTATGTTTTTATACATCTCTTTGATATTTGCTAAACTGCCAACCAACCGAAGACCCACTACATGTGACATAAAAAAAAAACAAAAATTTCAGTCCAACATGGAATTTTCTACATACCATACAATTTAATAAATAACAGAAAACATAGGTACATCAATCACAAATAAACAAAAATAAAACGTACATATTATACCACCATCATGTAAGTAAATATATTTATTTTAAAATAGTTTTGGCGTAAAAACTATGTTCCCCAATAGTTCATTACTGAATTTCAACGATTCAAACCATTTAGCCGAATGCCATAAACAAACACAAACAAGTAGCACTACTGTGAAAGATTCAAGTACATCGTCACAACCCAGTACAGCAGATAAAGGTTCCCTTACCATAATAGAGTTAAATGAATTAGTTCAAGATCCTGAAAAACCCGGAAACATAACTATAATCAAAGACGTATTTTCTGAAGAAATACACGACCACGACAGTGATTCAGCATCTGAAAGAGCTAAATCCAATAGATACAAATATTGTCGCGAAGTAATAAAACCGTACCTTAAAGATTACCCGGTAGATTGTCCCGTTTCAGATGAACAAATCATTAGAGACGCTTTATTAGCTGCTCATCAAGATTTTCCAGACTATCAACCTTGTTTTGAAATTTATGACGGTGATAAAGATATAACAGAAAAGAAGGATGGAATCGACTCTGGTAATATAAACAAAAAATCTAAAGATAATTCTGATTCAAGTATAATTAATACTAATAAAAAAGCAAGAAAATCTTGTGATCCTGATAAGAACAAAAAATCTGGCTCTTCTAAAACCAGCATTGAAGATAAAGAAACAAAATCAGATCTAACAAAAAAGAGCTCTATTGAAAAAGGTAAGAAGTGCAAAAGTAAATGCAAAGGTAAAAAATCTGATTCTGACTCTAGCATAAAAGATACTAACACAAATACTTTTAATAAAAAAAGTACATCAAAAGCTTCTATTCATACTAAGGAATCATCGAAAAGTAATTTAAGTTCAAATATGAGTGACGATAATGGATGTCCCCCAAAAAAACGAAATCCCAAGTGCCCCAAGAAAACCAAACGCCCAAGCATAGAGGAAGAAGTTACTGGTAAAAGAAGACCTTCCCCAGGCCCACCTTCAGCTTGTAAGAGAAAAGCTAAAAAAGATTTGTCTACATGTAAAAATACACCTTCAGAAGGATCTTGTGATTCTTCATCTCAGAAAAATAAAGATAATCCATGTAACCGAATAGTAAAGAGTGATTCTGCTAGCAAACAGTCTCTGACACAAAACGCAGATAAGCCAAAACTAATTTCAGATGCACATAGCGAAACCATGGCTATTATTAAAGTAGCAGTTGAAGACTTTTTTGGTAAAGTATACCAAACAACAAAAGATGCTGTTACTACTATTAAAACTGAAAGCGCAAAGCAAATGTGTAGCATGTCTTCAAAAAAATCGGAGTCATCTGATCTTCCACCTCGTAAAGTTTGTGATGAAAACAATAGCAAAAGTGTAGGAACTGAAAACTTCAAGTTTTTCAGAAATATGAATGAAATTGAACGTGATAGGAAAGACACAGTTATTGGCCACGGTCTAAGTAAGACAGCAGAGATGGTTGTAGGTAAAATTTTAAACAAAGTAGACTCTACAATATCTATGCTAAGCAATCATGTAAACTTGGAAAAAGCTGCTAGTATTATAAAAATAAGGAGTGATTCTAATTCACCATTTAATAATTTAGCAGAAGCAACGACATCAAATCATAGACCGACAAGTGTCGGGACCAGTATGTTCACTGCTATCAAGTCTAAAATAATGTCAATGTTTAGCGAAAATGAGATGCAACAGATTTTACCTACAAACTCCAGTGAATCGGCAAATAATATGTAACAATAAAAAAATAACAAATAACTGACCCAAATAAATAGCATTTAAACACCAATCCTGACATTGTATTTATTTTAACTTCTCAATCAACATAAATCAAATACCTAATCATAGAATTGCTTCCCTTTTTGTCGTCAAAAAAGGATCTTTATCCATGCCGTATCCCTTGCAGGTTAGGCGGAATGATTGAACTTCTTCCTAACAAAAAAGGTAATCAAGCTAGATATTAAATAATCTAAAGGATCAAATATATTTCATTGCTGGAAATATACATTGCTGGAGAAGTACTCATATTTATTACATTGCGTCGTACTAAGCACGTAATGTAAAGAACTTCGCGAAATAACCTTTTTAACTAGTAACATAATAGATTACGGTAAATGGCTAGTGAAGTGTCTGGAAACATTTAATCGATTCTTGGTCAATCGATCAACCAACTAATTAACAGTTAATATCTAAAAAAAAAAGATAATGTCACGTTTAATCAATACGATTTAATGTATATCCTAAATATTATAAAGAAATCATTACTCCATTATCCTTTCAATTGTCTTGTTGTTTTCAATATCAATGATAATAACTTTATGTCAATCACTAGTGTAATATGTCAAATTAAAATTTCTTTTACACGATTATTACGCACTCTAGATGTCTGTTATGGTTGAGCGTGATTGGTTATAGTTACGACCTCCCTAGCCGAGTGGTTCGCACGCCGGTTTCAAGGTGTCGCCATCTCTGAGGTCCCGGGTTCGATTCCCGGTCGGGTCAATGTAGAAAATGAACTTTTCTATATTGAATCGGGTCTGGGTGTTGTGATACCTTCGTTGTCTCAGATAATCCATAATACGGGGGCTTTAGCTACTCATCTTGGAATCTGAGCAATGTATGTGATGTTGTTAAATATATTATTTATTTATTATTATATTGGAGCGTTCTGATTGGCATGTTTAAAACGCGCGTGTGTGGATATCTTTTGTATAATTGGTCTAATATTTCGTCTGATGTACGGCGGGCGAAAAGTGGGGCAAGACTGGCGATATCGGTTTTAATACAAAGGATGCATGATCGCCTTTCTAACCTCTTTTTCGTGTTCTGTGTATACTAGTATGTAGACTGAGGTTAGACCATTGGTTATGGTTTATACCATAGATTTATTATATAGCATTGACATGTAATACTGGCCACATTTTTTATACAAAAAAGCTACTCAAGGCCAAAGAGAATGTAACCACTCTGAAGATAATAATGGATCTTCTTTCATAATATCAGTCGCACAATAAATTCACAAAATTATCTAACAATCATGTAAAATAAACAAAATAACTTTCAGAACCAAAATGTCTGAAAAAATTGTTTGTGGCGAAAGCTGCAAAAAACAAACCATAAAATGTATACCTTGCGTTACTTCGATTACCAATACACCCAAGGTTGAAAAGGCCCCTACTGATACACCCGAGGTTGAAAAGGCTCCTGCTGATTACCCTGCTGAAATTAAAAGTACGGATGAAACCGATAAAAAAGACAAATGCAAATGTTCAACCAACAAAATGTGCTGCGCACAAGGAAAACAAGAATAACATAAATATTATCACCAAATAAAATATATGGACAGATCTGGTAAGATATATTCATAGAATTTGAATAACCACACATCAGTCTTAAGTCAACACGTCGTTGTTGTACCTGAATTAATCAAATTATACACAAAAAAATTTCTTACATTAACCCGAACAGAAATATAACTCGACGACAGAGATCATTATCGGAACTAATATTGGTAACTTGGCAATGATCATTTATACATACATTATCTTCATAATAAAAGCGTCTTCATGACTCCCAGTATTCCAAATTTACTATTTATCATGCTTACTTTTGTAGCCCATATGATATTTTCATTAATTTTTCCTTACTTTCGAAACTCTTGCAACTATTAATTTACAGCACAATTTGTTTCTATAGTTACAACCGGAATATTCAGACTAATCATAAGAAGTTTTAGCTGAATACGTTGCTTTGGAAATAAACAAGACAATAAGGTTTGTGAAAAAATTGCTGAATTGTGATAATAGGCTACACTATATATTCTCTAGATGTGTTCTGTACTAGATGTTCTTCTTAATTTTTAGCTGCATCATGGACTTCCCTCAAAAAGTGGACGTAAAAACGTGTTCAAAATCTGAGCCACCTCACCCATGCGACCCCCCATTACCATGCGATCCACATGAAGAACCTGAAGGGGACTGCTATCCTCCATTCTTGTGCTATGAGAGATTAAAGAACCCAGAAGAAGACCACATGAGTAAGTTCAATATGTGTTTTTGATTTATCAAATTAATACAATTACGAAAACTAGCCGTCAAATATTTCTAAATAAAAACGAATCGCATAATGTGTTGCTAAGCTCAAAACACTGGTTGAACTGATATGGCAGATTTCTTTTTAATTGTCTTTAATGATATCGAAGAAAGAATCGTTTGGAGAATACGATGAAATACAGTAAAAATGTCAATTTTTCTTATCCCATACAAAAGAAAAATGTTTTTACTAACGTGGTAACTATAGGGTTATCAAAAAAAAATGGTACCGTAAAGAAAATGAAAATGCAGAGAAAAAATATAATGGGCTTGTAAAGTAAGTTATCGTTGCAGTAAAAACAAACACTGTTTAACCTATTGTATTTATTTCTTCTTCATGATAAACATTTTGATAGCAATCGATAAATAAATTGAATAAAAAATAAAAAACAAATCGAGTTAATAATGAATCTTCAAACATACTTTTCCCTTGTTTGAATAAAATATTTTTATAAAATTTTTAACTGATAAAATTTCTGCTATCGGGCGCCGATCAGTTAATAGGTTTGACTGACTTTAAAAATCTTTTTTTTTCCAATTAAATAACAAACAAAACAATAGAAATTCAAATAAGCTAAATGTATCCTTCTCTAAAATGCATTTATTTACACGAAGCCTACGTACAATGTTATTTAAAATATAAAACCATATACCAAATCGCATAAAACTTTAGAAAGCCCTACACAATTTAATAAAAACTTAAACAATAGAACCCACCTCAGACTTAAAAAAGTAAAAATAATACTTATAGTTCTTATTCTCTTTTATTTTTTATTTCATTATTTTAAGTGATATTGATATTTTTCATATAATAGGTAAAATGAAAATAATTTTCTTGAAACCGCGTTAAAATCATGTTAAATACCCAAAACCTTCTGCTAAGTCTCAGCCAAACGCGAGATAATCGCGCACAAATATACATACACACATTCTAAATGAAAACCTTATTTTTTTAAGTCCGTAAAAAATTAAAAGCATATCTAATTAATAAATAATATAAAATAACTTTTTTTTTTATTAAGACATAAGAATTCATTGAGAATAATTATTTTGACTTAATTTAATTTTAATGTAATGATCAACATTTTATTATTTTATAATATTACTAGCTGTAACCAGCACCGGAACACTGGCTTGCTGTACTGGAGTCTTAAGCTAATCCTAATTAAAAATCTACCTGTGAGCATCCACCTTCATATCATCATCATTAGCTTATCAGCATCGTCACTGCGGGGGCATAGGCCTGCCCTATAGATGGAAACAATTATGGAAAATCTACCGTTGCGTCTGTGGATAAAGCGCATGCCTTCAAGGAATAGTAGAGTTGCTCTTCTTTTCATTTTAGTGCGCAGTAGAATCGACACGTCTTGCAAAAAATACAATTGATGTTTTCTTTGAAAAAAATGTCCTTTTTTTATTATAATCTCCCTTTTTTATTCCCTCGATAATTCACTTGCCAATATATTTTTTTAGCATTAGAACCATAATAATTTTTAAGCACCATAAGAATTTTAAGGCTTGTATGGAAGTACTTCAGAAATATATGTCTATTATCACAAGACATAAACTCAAAATACAGGTGTATTTTTTATTATTTCAGCAAGGTGCCGTCCAGGAGCGTCCATAGGTGTAAGATCATGTAAAAAGGTTATCAACCCTCATCCGTGCGATCCTAGGATGCCCTGCAGTGAGGTCCCTAAACCTAAAAAATTACCTTGTGATGATAGACCTCTGTGTAAGGAAAAGATCAAGAACCCCGATGTACCCAAAGTAAAGAGAGCCTTGTGTACAGACTCAAAAGGAAAAATAAAAGAAGCGATCTTGAAGAAGATTTAATTTATTATTCAAATACATAGCAGATTCTTTTAACAAGTCTTTATTTTACATTAGCTAATCCAATAGAAGTGACAGTAATGTCATTAAACAAAATACGCAATGTATCATACCACGACCGTACGTATATCTACGAGCCAGGTAAAAAAAAAGTTTGTACTGAATACCACGAGATGAGTATATCATTAGTATTATAATCGTTCTTTCATCCACATAACAGCGGAGCGTGAGCGGACCATCAATATTGACGGCCGCTGGGAATATTTTACCGGTTTCAAAACGCTCGCTCCACATATTGTGCGTTCCATGTGTTATTCAGTGCTGAAACGGTTAAATGTAAAAAGGAGTGTATTAACCTATCTATTAACCCATACCACATTGCCATACCCAACTATATATCAGATATAATTACTTTAGTCTATGCGATAACTGGATTAATATATAATAAATTCATGATTCATGGAAATCTATATACCTTATTCCAACTAAAGTGGATAAAGATGATGTAAACAAACAATTAACCGGATCTATTTACGGAGTTTTTGCAATGATCAAACAACGAAATGCAATCAAAACTGACTTGTATAAAGACACTTTTGAGAAATAAGCAGCATAGCTGTATTGTACTTGGTGCGTCATTATGTCGCATGCATTTTTAATTTATTCGAGGGTAGTAAATTTTTCAAATTTCGCCCTATCCCCCTATATTATCCCCCTTTTTCTATCTATAATACCCTAGACTGATTGAAATTGCATTACTCCGTCATCAAATCTCACGCTGGGAACTGAAAATCATCAGACACGGTTCCACGTAGTGTCATAATCATCAACCAAAAAGTTATGATACGTAGGTCCTAATCGCATCGCGGTTGCGTACTTATCATCTGAAATTGTTTAGGAAGACGAGATACAGGAAAGGGTGGCTGTTCTCTAAAGCTCGATACAACATTAGCAACAAGCACCATACAGGTCAGTCAATCAGTCATTTCGTTTACGACATGACTACTCTTTGCTGCATCCAGAAGCCTAGCAGTAACCTTAGAGTAACTATAAGGCAGTAACTCATTAGATCATAGATACTTGGTAACCTGTGCAGTCACCCGACGTGTAACATAGTGGAAACGTGAAATCCATAGGTAGACACAAAAGCAAGTAAAAGGATAGTGAAAACTTTCCGATACCCTGACATGCGGACGTTCATAGTCCATCGTACGTCATACCTGCTCATAAATTTATGATTAATAATATGCATCACAAAAATGACTCCTACGATTTTCATGAAATTGAATATGCTGGGGCTACGGGGGCATACATCGATCCGAACATGGCTCGGTCATCCATATATCCAAGTGCTAAGAGATTAGGTACACCAAGTAAAATACAATCTTAATAGATGCATATTAACTAGCATGATTGATACAAAAATAAATATAAGATATCTCAATTTCTTGATGTGCTCTTAAACCATAGATTATACCAAATCAACAAAGGCTTTATTAAGGACTTGTAATAGCGCTGATAAAAAATTGGTAACATATTGAGTTATAAAAAAGTACAAAACAAATGTCAACTTATGTAACAAAATGGCAGAATAAACTTCTTTAGAATTTTTACAATGCAATAATTAATGCAATAACATTTTATCAACATTCTGGAACAGTGAAATAAAATGGCCATCAAAACACTCCAAACAACAAATTATACTACAGCAAATTGAATACTATGAATGTTAAAAAGTGTACTGTCGAACCAAAAGCAGAACCACCACCAATATCTCCGTGTACTTTGCAGAAAATAAAACAGTTGAAACAAGCTGGAAAAACAATTTGTCCCAAGGAACCGATTCCCGAGCCAGAGCCTGCGCCGGAGTGTATCGCATTGTGTATTGAGCGGATTAAAAATTTCCCAATACCACCAACGCCTAATTTTCCTATAGTTTGCGTTGTAGATAGAGAAGAAACTGGTACAAATAGGTGTGATGCTATAGCCTACGCTGAAGCATTACAACCTGACCTACCTTGGCCCGGCTGTCCACCTCCTCCACCACTCCCCCCACCACCAGAAATAAATCTTTGTGAAGTACAGAAAAGAAAACAAAGAATAGAAAAGTGCAAGGAAAGTAGAAGAAGATACTATCCTTAACAATGGAAAATTTTAAATTGACACGTCCAAGTGCCGATGTAGATTCACTTCTGGAGAAGTTCAGGATAGAAATAAGCAGTGCGGTAAACGAAGATCGTACAAATGGTAGAAAAATCACTATAACTTCTACTAGAAACGATCCAGATCATACCAGTGATATTGACAGTCAAATTAAAGAATTGGAAGACATAATACAAAAACTGCAAAATGAAATAACAGACTTAGGTAGAAATGCCGATGAGTACGTACCGAAGGATTACAGCGACAGCGAGAAGTCTTACATGACTGAAGAAAATAAAGAGAAAGCTGAAGTTTCAGATAATAAGGTTGCTAGCAGGGAAGATAAAGGAGGTGCCGGTGTTTCAGAAACTGAACAGTACAACCAAGTTTTTCCACTTTTTTTACAAGATGTGATTTTACCCTTGAGTGCTGATAATACACCAATAAGTACTGTTGTCTCTGAACTAATAACGGTTAATGCCGATAGTTCAAGTGATCGAGAACAAATTGACACAGTGAAGCAGGAAGTGCTGACCCTCTCGAATGAATTAAAAGATAATGCTCCAAAAGATAATCTCCATGAATTAATAAATCAATTGCAAACTGAAATATCAGAAAAACTGGAGACGTTAAATGATATTGACATTGATGACTTGCCAACACCGTAAAGAATGCAGATTAACATTACTAACACACGAGTTAACAAAATAGGAAATTCATCTCAGAATACAAAATATTCACAGCTATTATAAAACAATATGATTCAATTAGAAACATTTTCAGTGTTTTTTTTTATATCACCATTTTATACGATTTTAACTGCTAAATGTCATTGCCTACCCATTTTTAGGATACAACAAGATGTCGGCATTCATTTATTTATGGTTTCTTAAAAAGTAGCTATTTCAATACAAAAAAAACTCGATGGTGTCGCAATGGTCGGTCATCAAATAGGTAAGCAAAAATTTAGTATCTTGGTTTTCGCCAAACTTTTTTAAGACACGTCAGGGCCTTGGTCTGCAGTGATTAGCATTCATCAATTCGCACTGGGTCCACGTGCTTGACATAGCCTCTTTTGTTTTTTCCATGTGGAGGTCGTTACTCACCTGATGTTTTAATATAAGGATGTATGTGGTAATAAAAAAGCACAAAAATAAAATCTTTCTCAACAAATTTATTCACAATAACGAATATAGTTCATACAAAATACAACATTAATATATTCTCATATCTCAACATACAACTATAACTCAAGCAAGCAGCTTTGCCTTTGACTAGAATTAATCCTAATAAATAATATTATTACTCATCATTTCAAAACAAAATTATTAATATTTACAATTATATTTTTATATTATTTTGTTATGTCAATTTTTAGGGTTCCGTAGTAAACAAATTTGTTATGCAAATTTTTAGGGTTCTGTAGTGAACAAGGAACCATTATAGTTTGAACATGTTCGTCTGCGATTTAGCTTAAATACTTACTAATAGAAAATTGTAATTTGGCATTAGTATACACGTTAAATTCGCCGACAAAGTGGTAAAGAAAATTGTTTGAGTACTGTACATGAAAAGTGGAGATGATTTTTTTTTACGTCTTCTCTATAGTGTGAGGCATCGTTGGATAGGTTTTTCAAAAACATCGAGGGTTTGGGAGGCCCGTTTTTTAATTTAGTCAATCGTTTGTGACTTATTAAGCTTTAAAGCACTAATTTTCGTTCGTCCCCCCTCTACTAATTAAACGGACGTTGGTAAAAATTCATACATTACGGCAGTAGTACCTATATATAACGGAGTTATAAGGAAAACTATCACAATTATGTTGGCTTTATTAGTTTACGAGTAATAGCCGACCAATTATATTTTACTTGAAAATATGAAACTACTCCATGGAAAACAACAAAAGTGATTTTTTTCTTACTTTTTTAATATAATAATGGTTTGGCCGGTTTTTTATCAGAATATAATATATCAATATCCAATTTTTATTAATCATTTTAAAATAACTAGCGGTTTTTCTGCTACTTAGCTTAAATTATAGCTTATTATATCACGCGCGCATTGTGTCGCTGTTCGTAAACGAAAAAATTCAAAATATCGATCCAGTAATTTTGGCGCCTATTCGATGAAGATAAACAGTTAAATCTTTCCTATTAACATTATTATAACAACTAATTTTATGTAATATAAAAAAAGGTTTTTATTGATATTATTATTTTTTGTTTTACAGTCTTAGTATATTATATGGGGGATCACTTTTACTGTTGTATTTAAATAATTTGAATCTTAGAAATATTTCATGATTTACTATTTTCACTAGGAGTCTCCCGAATCTGTTGCCTAAATATTTAGGAATCGCCTAACGTAAAAATGCATTTCACTATTCACTAGGAACCACCTAACAAAATTAAACAATATCTAAAGTTACGGTGGTCGTTATGCAGCGCCTTGCGCTAGGCGTTTGCGTATATGACGGGTTAAAAATATGTCTATAAAATTAATCTGCTTAGGCGTTTCCTAGTTCATCTATGTCTTGTTCTAGTTTAGTGAAAATGAATGTGTGTAAATATCATACCTAGATTATGAAAATCTATCACAAACTTATTTGATTATATATCATGATAATAGTCATTAACATATAAAATATAATTGTAAACGTTAAATAAAAAATATAAAAGTATATATATATATATATACACAAGGGAAAGTTATACATATTTATATATAAAATCTAAGGCAAAAATATTTGGCACAATTATTTCGTCTTCATACTTTGGAATATTTTGAATAAGGCACATCGCTATATAATAGGCATGTCTTATACAAAAAAATACAGCTGAATATCATCAAATATTTAGTTTAAAATAACAATTAATATTAGGCTCATTAAAATTTCTCGTTCTTAAATAGTTTGACTCACTTAGTTTGACTCATAATAATTATGAGTCAAACTAAATATATTTACTCACAAAATTATTAAATTAAATATTATTATATAATTTTACTCATAAAATTTACTATTTAATACAATATAAAAATACAAATAATAAAAAAGGAAATATTAGCACTGTCAAATGGTAAAGGGATACCATATCATTTCGCTTAAACACATATTTCTTATAATTAAGGGTATAAATAACCATATTAACTACATATCGTTGCCATGGGATCAAGCATTTTATATACAAACATTCATCAAAAAATTTCTTCCTCTGCCTAGAACTGTCTAAAAACAAGCCTCTGGCCTGTTTAGTCCAAAAACCCTGATTTAGGGTTTAAAAAAACCTACACGGTTGCCAACCGTGCAGGCCGAAATGGGAATCCAAAATATTAAAAATATTCTCTTATTTCTTTCTTGCCGGTAGCTGCATAGGTGGCTGATGGAACGGATGATACTGCCGGGAGAATAGATTCTCCTGAAATTAATAATGATAATATTTAAATAAGGAAAAAACGAAATAAGTACATACAATTAATAATCATCACCTAAGATGAAATAGCATCTACAGCGGCTGAACTATAACAAATGTTTAATAGAGTGAATGGGTTAATGGAAGAATGGAGCGATATTGAGATTAAAACTAGAACCAAATAAGGAAAAAACGAAATAAGTACATACAATTAATAATCATCGCCTAAGATGAAATAGCATCTACAGCGGCTGAACTATAACAAATGTTTAATAGAGTGAATGGGTTAACGGAATTGGGAGCGATATTGAGATTAAAACTAGAACCAAATAAGGAAAAAACGAAATAAGTACATACAATTAATAATCATCGCCTAAGATGAAATAGCATCTACAGCGGCTGAACTATAACAAATGTTTAATAGAGTGAATGGGTTAATGGAAGAATGGAGCGATATTGAGATTAAAACTAGAACCAAATAAGGAAAAAACGAAATAAGTACATACAATTAATAATCATCGCCTAAGATGAAATAGCATCTACAGCGGCTGAACTATAACAAATGTTTAATAGAGTGAATGGGTTAACGGAATTGGGAGCGATATTGAGATTAAAACTAGAACCAAATAAGGAAAAAACGAAATAAGTACATACAATTAATAATCATCGCCTAAGATGAAATAGCATCTACAGCGGCTGAACTATAACAAATGTTTAATAGAGTGAATGGGTTAATGGAAGAATGGAACGATATTGAGATTAAAACTAGAACCATATTGCCCATAATGCTTTCAATACGATGAAAAAACTACTCTGTAGTAGTAGCAGTAACATTTCATTACGTACTCGTTTGCTCCATCATTGTTACATCTGGCTTATTCTACTTTAGACTGTACAAGACGGGTATTAACGCGATAGATTTCGATAGTTTGGTTTTTCACCTACCTATATTTCCCGGATTTATTCTACTTTGACTGTGAGGCTTGGACTGTTAAAAAAGATCAAGCCCACAGAAGCTTTCGGAATGAAGGTTTACAGGCTCATTCATAGACTTGAGTTATAGAGTGAGCAACGTGAAAGTTTTGAAATGTATTGACTAAGAAAGAGCACTCAAGCTCACAAATAAACGACGAAAAGTCTCTTATTTGGGTCATGTTCTACGAACTTCTACAACTTGTAATGTGATGGGCAAAATTCTTGGGAAGAGAAGCGTTGGAAAGAGGAAGAAATCGTGGCTCCCAAATTTCAGAGCACTCAGAACACTCAAGCTGTTTTGACTCGCAGGACGGTTATAAAAAGCTGATGGAAAATCTTCTCTAGTTAAAGAGGCACTTAAAGAATTAGACGGTATAAACTCAATATATTGCATTATAAATGTAATGTCTATATAAAAACGAAATTGGTAAACAGAAAAAGGTATATGAAAAAGCAGATAATCCGTAAATATACTTATATTAATTTCTTATATCATGGATCGATACCTAAGAAACTAAAATTTCACTGTTGCCAAAAAAGACTCATTTAATCTAACACACTTACCACATTGTCATTTTGTGTTGCATTAATTTTTCTTTCTTGCAATATTATATGATTGGCGGCACTGGAATTTCACATAACATTAATTGAATATAATAAAATCATTCATATTTTAAATACATAAACTAAATGCAATTCAGTCCTCTATGGGATTCAACTAGTAATATCATAAATTAAAAACAAATAAAATTTATGAATTTTAAATAAAAAAGTAAATAAACATCCGTCCACCAATCTGATCAGACGATTAAGTGATTATAATAGAAATACTTATATCAATAATGAGAAAACAGAATCAAAGTCACTTCTCTAACGATTTCTTTTAAATCATTAAGTTATCATCAGCCCTTTTACGTCCCCACTGCAGGGGCTCAGGCCTTCATTATGGATGGTTAAGGAGGATGGACCATGACCCTCCACGCTGGCCCAATGCGGATTGGAGAGTATTAACGACTGCAAATGCAGCCGGGACCAACATCTTAACCTGCCTTCCGAAACACGGAGTAGCTCGAGATAATAATTTTTTGGTCACCCATCCTGTGACCGACCCTTGCGAAAGTTGCTTAACGACAACGATCGCGGGCCGCGGCGCTTATCCCCTACGCCACCGAGCTAATAATTCAGTGATATGTTTCAATAGCTGACATCTAGAGAAAAACAAACTATTAAACAATTAAAAATATTATAAAGAATATTCTATTAATGGTATTAGTTAACGATCAATAAAAGAAAAGAAAACAGTAGACTGAGAAGACTGTCAAATATTCTTAGCTCATCTAAAATTGTATTCCTAATATATATACACTCATGCAGTTGTAATAATATCTTATTGTTTGCTTACGTATCCATCTCCTCCTGAGTGAGGTCGAGCGCCTCCTGCATCTCACGCAAGGTACTCTGGATGAACTCCATGTCGCAGTACTTGCCAAGCCCCTGCTCCGTCAGTACCTGGAAAGTTAACAACATATATTTATGAGCATTTGCACAAGGAGATGCAGAGATTGCAGAGAGATGCAGCCAAAAGACGTCCTGAACTAGTGGTAGGGAAAAAAATGTTGGACGATTCAAAGTACTTTTAAGAAGTCCATTTGAATAAAGATTATTTTGACTTTGACTTTGATTCGATTACTCGTACGCAGCTTAAACTGAGCTAAACAACTATTCAATCTTATTTGCTCAATTTCTCATTCTTCTTTTCTTCCAAAATCAGTTACTAATTTGCTGTTTCAATCAAACCTTAAACTTAAGCAGTAAAAAATTCCAGATTAATATACAAATAAAATTCTTACAAATTTGTAAGAAAATACTAAAACTAGTGAAAACCAAATACACTCACTCGAGTAATAAGATTCTCCGCTGGATTCTCCACGCAATAAGGCACGTTCGGTTTCGACGTTTTGTCACGATCTGTTTATGAATGGACATTTGATTTAAGATTTGATGTTCGTAAAGCTATTTACAAAGTCAAAAGGTAAGTTATATAACAGGAGTACCACAGGGAAGTATTTTAGGGATCCTACTATACAAAATCTTATTAATATTGAGATAGATGCAAGTTTATTTCATAAACAACCCTTGATCTATCGCTTCGCTGGCGCGCTATATAATGTACCTATTTGAATTGCGCGTAGTCTTATATTCATTCTATTTACATTCGAGAAGTATTTTTTTAATGGAAAATGTAATATATCGAATTATCAAAACCATCTAGTTCCGCAATGTTATCTATGATAACTAGGTATAATAATAACTTCCATCAATCGACAATTAACACCTCCTGTATGAAGATTATCTACTGATAAACAGCGATACTAATAAACCGTCTAAAAGTACAACTTCTCATACAACTATTTATGTATTACACAAACAATTAGTCGATAATTAAAGATCACGAAGGTTTTCAATGTTAGATGATAGTGTAATACTACCTTATATAAGTATCTCGATACTTTCGCTCCTGTGCGTAGACAAATTAAAAAATGGTAACATGCTAATTAATTACTCAAACATAATATAAAGCAAAAAAAAATAGAAAAAGCAAAACTTTGACATTAAGTCAATCCAACTTTTTTGTAATTGGAAAATATGCAGAAAATATATGGATAAGATTTGCCCATCGTGCTGTTCAGCCAACTCAGAGCGTATCAGGATTGCTAAGGAAAGTCTAGCTATTTCTGACTTATCTCCATAAGTCACGCACATAAGTATGAACGCTTAAGTTTAATATTACTGTTCTTCGATAAAGTTTTATCTTTCCATTAATGTTATATTTCTACCTCGCATATTCTTTAAACAATTAGGTATATGTTAATTTACTCTGAGCCTCTGAAACGTATTATTAGATTTTTTTGCAACTTTTAAATATATTAGGCTTCTGATGTTAACATATAAACATGGTGCATAAGCAAACGATCAAACCACACTAAAACCCACTTACTATTATTTCTGATAGTCTGCACTAAATCGTTGGAAGTTTTTCTGAAAATGTTTTAACCATTACTAACATCGTACAGTTGACGAAAAGGTTTGAATGGTAACTACAAGCCGAGAATCAACTCAAACTGAAAGTAATTTATTCAACCTATACTTTTATACGCACTTGATAATATAAAAAATAATATCAATAATACCTTATAAGCTCTCATAGACCTTTAAAAAGCTATAAAAAATTAACATTCGAGTAGTTTAAATGGAGTGACCAAGTGTATTAAAAAAAAAACAATGTCACTTCCTGACTTTCATATCAAAAGTGCAGAAATAGTACATTTTTAATCATGATAAAACTAGGATAAAAAAATTATTTAAATAAATATCATGAAAGTGGCGGAAACAAAATTAAATTAAATTTTCATAAAAATAGCAATGATGTTGGCTGCTATAAATTTTAAGAATTTAAAACATTAAAAACTTTACTGAATAAAGAAAAAAAAATAAGGAAACTTATTGAACGTCAAACGTACGATATTAGTCGAGACACAATTTTAATGTGCCATGATTTGATACAACGAAAGCACAATAGGCACAACAGGTGACATGAGAACTACAACTAGATATATATAAATTGCTAATAGTTCGATACAATAACCAAAACCCAGTTATTATTTTAATTAATTAGGTGGATATACAATACACAACAATAAATATACATTAAAGGCGGATTTTAACATCAATATGAATATTGTAATATAGTACATAATTATTATTTCAACTACAAAATATTTTATTGTATTGAATCAAATAAAAAAAAAGTGATTTGGTTTATGCGTTCTCTTAACGCAGTCACTCAAAATATACAGATAACTCACTCTATAGCTCTGAATATCCGTTCGGAGTCCTTCCCTTGTAGTAATGGCGTCATCGCTATTTCTTCATCACTCTGGTTGCCTTCTTCAAATTTCCTAAAAGAAAATCTCATATTCACTTTTTTTAATTTCGGAAAACATTTTGTCTGTAACATTTTCTAAGTCACAACACATTATACAAGATTTTCGTGAAATTCCAAACACCATTTGAAAAATCATTACTACTAGAGCGAACGTTGAAACAATCAAAGAATATTTTTAGTTTGTAAAAAATCTTAAACATTGAAAATATCTCACGCTTCCTCTTCTGGAATTTTGCCATCCATACCAAGTTCTCTTCTCATCATAGAACTCAGCGATTGACCTTCTTCTTTACCTATAAAACATATAACAACAAATGTTTTGAATCAAATTAGTACTAACGTATTAAAACTTTACCCAATAGATAAAATCTTGCTTCCGTTAATAACTGAGAAAATCTTTCCCTAAATGCATTCATTCTTATGAATGCATTTAATTGCTTTATATTTCAATTTACCTTAAATGAAAATATCCAATAATTTAATTGAAACACTCACTGGGCATTTTAAGTTTTACTGAAGGTGGAACAGTCTTTTTGTCACGCCCATAAAAGCTCTCACGACCGTGTTTCTTGATACTTGTCCAAACAGCTCCAAACAGTGTGTGATTACGCTGAAAAGTAATATTTTGTTTTGATCCAGTCAATGAATCTACGATGTTATTTCATCATCGTGTCTACATTTTGATGGTGTATTTTTCATTTTCTTAATCTACTATAATAAAGCTTTTTATTAACTTACCCTATGCATTGGTTCTACAGTTTCCGGTACTATTTCATCGAGGTTCCCAGATATGGCTCTCTTCAGCTTCAATTCTGGACCGGCCTCGTGCAAAGTGCGGAGACCTGCCTGGAGCGTCATCTGAGTGTTCTGTGTCGATGCAGCGGCTGCCTGCTCTTTACGTTTTCTGAACCTGAATTTTGGACATCATATTTAAACAAACAAAAAAGTCGTATAATAATTTTATACTCAATCCTTTCGTTTATAGATAAGACGATCTTTATTAATCCAAAATCATTAAAATACTTTCTAAAATTCTACAAAATAAATGTTAGTTTATGCTGCTACAATTCCTATAAAGTTAAAATTTTAGAATTTCACAGATTCATAAATGTCTTGGAATCTGCTATAAGACTCTGTGTGTCAATGTTAACAGTATAAAGTACTTAATTATTTAAAGTAAAATCACTAATAGTTAATTATGTTTTTCAAATACTATTTTCATGAATAGCAATAAAACCTTAAAATACTTTGAAAACATTAAAACACGTTTTCTCTGTGATCATTACAACCATTTGCTGTACGAAATTATGTTTCTGTTATACCAAATGATAATGACATGCATCAAAAATTTACAAACGCAAGATAATTTTATTCCACAACACGCTGAAAACAATGCAAATATAAAGTTCTGTGCATTTTTAAAGCAAGTGATTGTAAAAAAAATAAACAACAAAACACGGAGAAAACATGCTTTGGAAAAAATATTACTAGACTTTGGAAATCATGCTGTATAATCGAAAATGCATCAACTATCTGCTATGTGTAAACTTAATTTTGCATAAGCCGGGAATAAAAGATAGGGTATCACGATAAAGCTAAGCTAAATGCTAAAAATTATTGCACGATTAAAAATTTTCTAGTGAATGTAAAAAAAAAACTCCAAAAAATCTTAAGGAAAACAAAGCAACATCCTTGGTACAATATCAAACTGGTAAAAAAAAGCCAAGGATGACAAGCGTAAGATACAGCAGTATAATCGCCCATCTGCTTAAAACTTGTTTGTTGACTTACGCATGGTTCCTACAAAAACATAAAATAAGTTAGTTTGTTTTGTCAAGCTTATGAATATATTTGTTTTTAAATTAAATAACATAAATTACAATAACTACCAGTGTTAAAATAATTTAATATAAAATATAAACATGCATTATGGAAAACACCAAATTAAGATATACTATTATAAAATAATACTATACGTATAATATGTCTCATTTTTATCAGTTATGTGGTTGGACAGGATTCAATTTGTGTTATAACGATTATATTATACTTAAACTTAACCTTCTATTTATATAATTGATTGTTTTCTGCATCGTATATGTAGATGATATGATTTTAAGTCCTTAAACATTTCAATTAAACAACGACATCAACAATGTCAATTAAACATCCCACTAACCTTCTGAAATAATCTTGTATGAGGAATGTAGCGTAAAACTTGCCAACTGTTATCTCATTCGGATCACCTGGTGGGGGCACAACTTGATCCAAGAGCTTTGATGATGTTCGTTTCCACACTTTCTTTATGATCGCTCGCAGTTCGGTGTTACATTCGTCGATAACACCTATTGAAAATACTCTTGTAAACAAACAACTTTACAGCTATCTATTTGGTGCAGCAATGATATGATTGATAACTTCAATAGTTAAAAATAAAGAACAACAATAAATGAACATAATGCTTTATACTCTCTGTAATTTTTTTCAAATACGAACTCGGTTAATTTTATTCAAATAAGCTATTACAAACGGGCGCTTACGAATTATTTAAAACATTTTTGAAATGCCTGATTTAGTTCTTATGTTAATACAATTAATTCTTACCCGTAGTTTTGATCTGCAGTTGTGTTCGCACAACAGCAAACAAAGTTGCGTTAAAGTTGACAGTACCGTCAGAATTAAGTGGCATATTCATTGATACAAGGCGTTTACACGCAGTCCGATGAGGACATAGTTTACCAAAACCTGAAAAAAACATAAATTAACCTCTCATTTAAACCTTTTGTGTAAAATTAATTATATATTATGTAATACTGTTGTGTATAACAGGTCTTTTTAGTTTTAGAAAATAGGTAGTTGACATTTAGTCAATCGTTTTTATCATATTGTTTTTTTTTATTATTTAAAATTTTATGCGTCAATTTTAATATATATCATATCAAATAAATCGAGTCGCCAAAACTTTACTTTAAACTACCTACTCTATTAAACACTATTTATATATCATTCATAAACAGTTTATACGTCGAAGTAACCACTCTAGATCTCTTTTTAATTTTGTAAGTTTAACAAAATTACTACTTTAAATTTTATCAATAGTTTTGTTCTTACCTAAAGGTGGACTTATTTTTCTTAATAGTGTTACTACGTCTAAATGTTTGATTCTTCCTTTGGCGTCTGGATCGTATTCGCTCCATAATCTGGAAAAGTGCATTTCATTCAACTAATAATTTAACTTTTATTAGCAATTTTAAGTAAATATGAATTTAATGGAAAATTTACCTCACAAATTCGTCAAGATGATGTGGACCTAATATTGACCAATCCCTAGTAAGATAATCAAAATTGTCCATAATGACAGCAACGAATAAATTAATAATCTGTAAAAAATATAAATAATTAATATTTAGCTTTAAAAATATCCCATAAGCACTTAGGATCTACGCAATTTCTTCCAATATAATAATAGCAACATTATACATCAGCCGTTTTATAAAAACAACTCACCAAAAATGTACACAACAAAGAGAATGATATGAAATACGGGAACGCCAGCCAAGTACCACAGCCTCCAGTGTTGACGTCGTTCACGTCAATATTGCCATCTGAATCCAAACAAGCAGGCGGCTCCCCTGGTCTCTCCAATATATTATTGGATAATGCCATCATAATTTCTTGCCACGCTTCACCTAATAAATTACCAAAGTGCTGACTAAGAATGGCGTTAAATAATAAATAAATAATTGATAACAGAATTAAGTCAAAGTAAGTATGGTCTTTTAAGGATTTTTTATCTATAAAATCACACAGGGCTAACAGGGACTTCAAAAGCAGTGAATTACAATGGTTTAATTTGTCTCCCAAGCACTGAGAAGCTCAAGTTCTTACATTATTGTGACCTGACTAACTGACTTCGACTAGCTTTTACGAACTCGCTGAGTACTGTGACATATACTTCTTCACCTAATTTTTTAAAGGTAAGTAAAGTTTATATTTTAATGTTTCTCCACCAATAATATTATTCGACATTACTTCTACACAATTAACGCTATAAACTTATAGATTCTCGTTAAAGTAGGAAACGCTTGTATTTTACCTGTTGCTGATCGGAAGAGAACCATCAATGCACTGCCAAATGTTTGGAAGTTATTATGTCTTGTTATAACAGATTCATCTGGAGCAATTTTACCAAACAACTGAAATTTCCCAAATTAAGCATTTAATATTTATCAAAATAGTTATTAATAAATACTATGCTTTATTAAAAACACATAAAGACTATTTATTTAAAAGTAGTGGTTTTTGAAAATGAAAATGCAGCTTTCTAATATATATATATATATATATATATATATATATATATATATATATATATATATATATATATTTTCAATCTAAAAGATTCTAATTGTAAAGGAATAATGACAATATCATCTAATTAAATGTAACATAATCAATATAAATTAATTTTTAATTTAAACATAAGTTTTTATATCAACATATTTATAAAACAGTAACATTAATATCTTACTTGCATTCCCACTACAGCATAAATAAAAAACAGGAGCACAATTAGCAAAGCAACATATGGCAATGCCTGAAAGGATTTGATAAAAGTCCATAGCAGTGTTCGAATTCTCTCTCCCCTTGAAAGTAGCTTTATCAAACGCATGGCTCGGAAGAGTCGAAAGAACGTTATATATTTCAATAATGTCCCCTAAAATAAATAAAATATATGTATTAGTAACTTAAGTGCAATTATGTGTGTTATACATAACACTTAAATATTTCGTCGTTTCTTACCTCGTCAGTCTTTTTCAGTGGTAAGACTTGCTCTATCTGGAAAGTAAATGAAACAATTAGTACTGATTAATTCAAAAGTAAATCTCAAGACGACACTTTCAGATTGAAAACATTTGTGAATGATAAAATAATTACCTCTGGTTTGTTTTTATTTTCATTAACCTGTGTAACTACTATATCTATGATACTTCCCACCACTAATATAAAATCTGTGGTGTTCCATGCATCGCCGAAGTAATTCTAAAAGAAATAAAAGCTTTGCAGATTAAATTTAAAAACATCGTTACTTCTATTTATTAATACAAGATTGATAATTTTATTAAAAGATAAAACTTCTTTAAATCACATATCTAAAATTTCCAATTATTGCATACCGTTTTGATCTCTCCTTTTTAAATAAGATTAGGTTAAAACCCATAGGTGCTATGAAATGTTAATAGATTTTTAAACACTTGAAAGTTATTTTTTTTATAAGCAATTTGAATATAACATTATTCACCTTGAATCTGAAAGCTGCCAATTTGAATACAAACTCCAACATAAATACCGTTGTCAGCGCCATATTCAGGTTATCAAGTATCTGGAGAAAATAAAATTAGATTTCGAACAATGATTCTTTAAATGGGTTAGGTAAAACCGGTATTTGCATAGACCTCGACCTTCCTACCATTAAATAGATGGGTAGGTAATGAGTTGCAAAAATTGAACTGTTAATTAGATAGGTAAGGTCGAGATTATGATATATAATGGTAAAATTGTTCTCCTCACTTTCTTGTACTCGGCAGGCGCTTCGTGAAATTTCATCATAAGAGCGACGGTATTCAACACAATGAAGAAGAATATGACATACTCGAACCTCTGCGACGTGACAAACCACCAAGTTTTGTACTGGATTCGATGCTTAGGAATATATCTATTAGAAAAAATGAACATATGGATTAATAATCAATTCAACTTCCGTTTATTTAAAAAAGCTATTTGTAAAATGTCATATAATTTTTATATAGGCTATGGTTTATAATAATAAGAATATAGTTTACAAAATTAGCTGTAATTATTATTGTTTAATTACTTAAAATGTATAAAAAAACATAATATAGTTACCTTCTGATTGGCTTAGCTTTCAACGCAAACTCAATGCAATTTCTTTGATTTTTATCCAATTCACAATCTTTGAATTCCTGTTCTCCCTCTTTTTGGAATGTAACTATGACAAAACCTACGAAGATATTTACCTAAAAATATAGTATAATAGTTTGTAAGTTCTATTGCGTGTAAGTGTTATGTACACAGTGTTTTGTATTTTTTACTAACGTTAGAAAGACAAACAAAACTATGTGTAACTAAACAGCGGTTAAAAGTTTCGAAGTAATGCATTTCAATGTACACTTAGTAATAAGTGCAAGTTTAGTATTATTTATATTTTCAAAATAATTAGTACTTCTGATAAACAAAACCTATGCTAAAGGAAATACTTAGTACATATACAATTTTCGTTCTATGGATAGAGAACCTCCGTAACTGAGATGTCCGCACACCGGTTTCTAGGTGTTTACTACCTCGGAGGTCTCGGTCATGATCGAGGATCAATGTAGAAAAATTAACTTGTCTATGTTGTCCCAATTCTGGGTGTTGTTTGGGTTTTGGTGGTACCTTAGTTGTTTAAAATTTCCACAATACCAGTGCTTTATTTACTCAAATTTGGGATGAGTCATTTTTTCTACATTGAGTTATGATTGAATAAATAAATAATGAATTAATTCTCTTGTAAGCAATTCAATCAAAAACCCAATATTATGGGAACAGCAAAATAGAAAAATATATTTTTCTTTTCAATTATAGTTTCTGTTTCCTTCTTCACATAAATTATTTCAGAAACAAAATTAAATTATCCTTTAGATCGCAGAAATAATTTATTCTATTCAATTTTTATGTGCTTGAGGCAGTTTGTCTACTTCACTACTACTACAACTAGTACCATCTTTCGGCAAGTTTTAAAACTGAATAATATACTGCTTTAACGCCATCTACTTTCTTACAGTTAAACTATACGAGCTTTTTACTCACCATGAAAAATGCTATAACAATAATATAACTGATGTAAAAGAACGCCACTAGGGGTCTAGAATTTTCAATGGGTCCATGATTTTCTTCATTTGAATCCATTGAAGTAGATAATAAACTGAAATATTTAAACAAAAAATAATATTCAAAGAGTGATGGAACTATAATTAGTTGATTTATTATTTGATAATTTTACTAATTAAGTTGTTCAACCGTCGACGTTATATTTACTAAGTTAATTTGCGAATCAAACACAGATGGCGTCATAATTGAACTTACATCACAATTGAACATTGAGTTTTGATTATTACACTTACATCCAGTTGCACAAAAGTCCATTAAATTTTTCCTTACTTTAAAGCGACATACAAATTTGATATTCATTAGAGCTGAAAGGTGTCATTAGACTTAATGGACTGTTGTGCAACTGATCGTTAATATAACTAGAAGAGGAATATTATAACTCACCCAGGCCACCCTTCAAATGTAGATACGGTAAAGAGAGTGAGCATTCCGCTTAGAACATCATCAAAATTGAACTTATTCACTGTCCAAATCCTATCTTCTATAGTGGGTTTACCATTGGTGTAGACAAGGTAAGAACCTCTGTAAAAATTATGTTGTAGGTACTTATTAAGTCTCGTTTGTGTGTAGTTTTATTATTGACGAGATTGCTTCTTATACCTTGGAGTTATTATATCTTTCAATAACTCCAAGGTACATGGTGTAACAGAAATCCTATCAATAAATCTTACTCTAGCCTCTGTCTCGGATACGCATGGATCAAGTTAAAATTAAGGTCAAATAGGTACTCTCTGTCATCGCTTAAAGTTGTGAAATTGACATACATATAATTCAAATAATTTACACTTAAGAATATCAAAATCTATATGTACTTTTAGCTGAATCACAAAATTTGGCAAAAGCAACGCTTTATTATAGGACAAATAAATGAGAAAATCCAAAAAATCATTTCATCTTAATTTGAAAGAATAAGAAAAGCAGAAATAATATTAAGTAGAATGACGGCAACCTAAACTGCAAGGAGAAAACAATTTTGTTGGAAAGCTCTCACAAGTTCCATTAGCACACTTAAAAAGGCATTATAAAGAATTTTATTTACTTACTGGCATTCTTCTTCTGTGATTTTCGTGATATCACTACATCTAGAAAATTTTCCCTGAAATGATACAAAGATTAGAAAACAAAATATATAAAAATTCAAACACAAAGTGAAAATATTCTGACCCATACCATATTTTAGCGCACAGAACAGAGAAATAGAAGCTTTAACACATATTTTAGTACTGTGAATGGTTGGTGTTAAAACAATCTAAAAAAAAACTATAGCATTTCAGCTTCCTACAAAAGGATAATTTGCTGCAATCAGTTTCGGCCTTAACCGTGCACAAATTAAGGTTTAAAATCTATTAGTGTAATCTCTTCTTTTAAAATTACGTGACCTGTACCCAAGGCATTAACTAGGACGTGTAATTTCCAGTTATTCGTTACAATAACACTAACCGTAGCCATATCAATTCCAGTAAATGAAAATATTTAATAGAAATAATTATTGATAGGGATTCATATTAATAACTATGTCTTTGAAATATTGTGTCACTTTGAACTAATACCAAAAGACAATCAATGTTTATGTTACAATTTATGAGCGTTTTAGATTGACTTTATGGAAATAAATTGTTTTATATTTCCTCTTCTTCGATATTTATTCTTATAAAGCTTTAATTTTATTCAAACTAGCTTTCGCTAGCGGCTTCGCCCGCGTAGTTCTAGGGAAATATTTAGTAAGATAAAAAGCCCTATTATCTAAGTCAACTAATTTCATCAAAATCCGTTCAGTAGTTTCGGCGTTATTGACGGACAAACATCAAAACAAAGAAACTTTCACATTTTGAAAGTTTCTTTGTTTGGATGTTTGGATCGGATTATACGCCTAATCATCTATCAAACTGTAGTATATATAAAAATCAATTGCTGTTCGTTTGTCTCGCTAAAATTCGAGAACGGCTGGGCCGATATAGCTGATTTTGGTCTTGATATGATTGTCGTAGTCCAGGGAAGGTGAGAGGTGATACAAAGTACACCGGGTCATCTAGTAAGTAATAAATCTACAAATCAAAACAAATTATAACTCATATAATAAGTTAACGTAACAACATCAAGGGTAAGGTCAGCTTTACGACATAAAGAATATTATCAAACTTTCAGTGCATCTAAATAGTTTTTAAATAAAATAAATTACATATATTCTATTTAACGTAATAATTTACTATTCTGATTGTTATGTGCATATGAATTGGAAGAAGATGATTTGTCACAAGAAGCAGCCGTGTTTGTGACAAAACTATCAATTATTCACATATTTCATTCACAGGGTCATTTATTCTACCAGTTTAGCATATCTAACTCAATACTCTGAAAAATAATACTTTCCAAGTTTTTTATGTACTGTCGTGACATTTAAAGGGCCATGATTTATTGGTAAATGAAAGGCCGATGCTACGCTAACGCGATGTGTAGTTTGTATCTGCATAAGAGCGTAAAATTATTAACTTTCAATCGGTTAATTAAATAAAAATTAACCTTTATTTGTACTAAAGCTTAAAGGTAATGAATTATAAAGTCATAAAAGAAGATTTGTTATTTATGATAAAAGCTATCTTGCCTTACCAATTTACTGGTATTTTAAAATTAACCCTGTATATTATTGTCAGACTGTTAAAGTATTTTATATCGTTTCGCTGGCCTTACTTTACAAACCTTAAACAACTGTACGCCGACAACAGAAAACATGAATTGCAACATGTGGTTTATAACGAATATGTTGCCTATCGATCTTACAGAAGCTATCACACACTTCACAACATACTGTTAGATAAAAGTGCAGTATTAGTTAACACGCAACAGTAAATTTACCCAACACAATTAGTGTAACCATTTCCACGTGTGTAGTGTGTGCCGCGTAAATGTGAAAAATGCAAAAAAAAAAGAAAAATATTGTTAATAAAACAAAAAACTTGACCTACTTACACGGCGTTAGTCCTTGGTTTTTAAAACAGAAAAATATTAATCACTTTTTTTTGTATTAATTGCCAGTGTCCTGATCTGACTTGATTTTGTTTATCAAAATTTAAAGGCAAAAAACACGAAAACGATAAACCAAGTACCTCAGTAGTATAGAAATGTCAAGGTAGGGTAGACTGTGCAAAATAAATAATATAACAAGCTCAAATTGAGTCCAAAAAACTCACAGACAAGAAAACCATGTGATAACATTGGCAACACACAACACCTTTGGGCTTATTTCGGGAAATAAAAACATTGAAGCGACTAGAAGTGAATTTTTTGGACCCACGGAAAGAAGCAAAAAGAAAAATGTTAGTATTAAATTTTATTCCAATACGAAAAAAGCTTCACACACAAACGAAATCAGGATGGAGAATTTAGAGAATTCACTTGAAGATTTCATCAAAGAAATAATAGAGTTAACTAAGTCATATGGTTGTCAATACTTACTGAAGATTTAAATTCAGAAAGAATTATACCCAAAGGTGTTGGTTAAGTAAACAAAACGCATTTCTTTTTCAATCATTCTTATAATTTCTCCCTACCTTGAACATTTGCACCCCCATGACGGCAAACATGAACTGTAGAAGATTTGTCACCAACAAAATGTTGCCAATCGTTTTTATTGCAACTATGACGCACTGAACTACGTGCTAAAATTATAAAAATATCCTTTTACATAATTTTGAATTTATATGTATCGTCAATATTGTTCAATTGTATGAAAACATACTGACCTTCAAGCCTTTTGCTCTGTTGATAGCTCTCAGCGGTCTCAACACTCTGAATACTCTCAGAATCTTTATAAAACCAAAGGAACTCCTGCAGAAAAAGTAATGTAAGTCAATATAAATTGCTTTCGTCTATTTTCTTACATTTCTACACTGTCTCTTCTTAAACATATCAAGAAATAACCTGGACGCACCTAATCTTATACACCGACAACAAAATCGCGTTACCCAGACTACATTTTACTCCATTTCACACACTTATATCTTCAGGGATAAGGTCTAAAGCCAAGTAAATTAAATTATAAATATCATCATACAGTTAAACCTTCTGAGAGATTATAATTTTTTTTTATAATTCATAATCAAATGAAAGTAATGTTTTTGAAATTGAAACAATTTTGTCTGATTATAAAGCCAACTCACCCTGCCAAAGAGACTAAAGAAACGATGACAACAAGTAAATCAAGAAGATTAAACGCAGATCTGCAGAAGGCGTCCTTATGCAAGATGAAACCGTAGGTGATCAGCTTTAATACCAGTTCCACGGTGAATACTGCCGTGAAGAAATAATCTATTTTGCGGAGAATCTGTAAAAACAACTTTTGATTTGTAAAAAAAGATTAAGCAATTAGAGTCTCGAACAGTGGTTCCTAAACTAGAGGTATTAAACCCGCGGGTGTATCAAATATCACGTGAGGCTATTGAAGATTTTATAAATTAAGATATACCAGAGATAGATCTCTAGTCATCAGATACCACGACATCACGTCGGAGGGCGGGGTGGAAGTAGATGGTGAGTGCAATCAATTTCCTAATAACTCAAAGAGGTAAGATCGTAAAAAAGTTAGATCAGTTTCTAACCTAGAAAGCTAAATCCTATAAAAAAAACAATTATAATACTATTTTAATAGCAAACCTTCAATCAACTATAAATAGGGTTATGTCAGCAATTATTAAAATAGTCATGAATATTCGAATTAATACATTTCAACTCGAAATTTATCATTATTTTTTTAATAATTTCCAGCTTGATCAAAATCGAAATAGATTGACGAAATCTTACTTCAGTCTTGTCGGCATTTTCTTTCCTACCCACGGGATCTTCCATGGCCAACATGAGTGATGAGGCCAAAATACATAACAGGATCATATTTTTGAACCAGGAGTTATTTTGAATCTTATAACACGATACTCGGAACCTGTGGAATAAATTGCATCCATACATACATTATGGCTCATTTACACTGGTCGATGATATCCGCGTGCGAGGTACGGATTTCTGTGAGTCACTTTCAGGTCGGTTATAGTTTTATTGACCGATGGGCCCGCAGAGCCCTATTGACTAGTGTAACTGGGCAATTAGACATGTCAAAATGGGTTCGTTAATCTGTTATTGAACGTCATTACGGTATAATTTTAATGGGGAGATGAGAGGCTGGATAGTGCAAGACTACTTTTTAGTTTGAAATGCCATCTTATTCCCCTTGGTTACGTGCACTAAACTGCAAGTAATAACTAGTATTTCGTGAAAGTAACAGAAATGTCTGAAGACGAAGTCAATAAATAAATCTTTAGCTAGCTAATGTGGGAGAAGACAAACATTCTATATAATAATTAACTGAAATGAAATGAAATGAAAATATCTTTATTCAAGTAGGCTACTACAAGCACTTTTGAATTGTCCAAAAAAAATTTTTTCCCCTACCACTTGTTCAGGACGTCTTTTAGCTGACAAGAAGAACAAGCGAAAGAAACTTACCAGCTTTTTATCATAAGTAATGACATTTACATAAATCATATCATTACCAAAATAATATGTATTATCACAATAATAAATACAACTTTCAAAGTCTGTAGGACAAAGGTTGAACATATAATTAGTCTTTATAGAACAAAGCGAAGGCTATCAATTCCATGCATTGCGATCCTTAAAATAATCATCAACTTTATAATATAGCCTTTACTCATTAGTATATAAGCTCGATTCGTCGACGGTAAACTGAAAAGTAAAGATCATTGTGTTGCATTCGTTCAATTTATTTTAATTTATCAGTTAAAAAGTCTGTTGCGTAGTTTATTTTTCGCAAATAGTGGAGAATTGTTCCATTGGCATATTGTGGTGAAGTAATTTCGTGACTATTCTCGATATTGAGGTGCATTTTAAGGGTTATTCATCGGTAGTGTCGGAAAGAATGTAATAACGGTCATTCAAAGCAGGTACATTATCGCGACGCGTAAGCGACGCGTTCTGCACGGCACTTAAGACCTTTTTCTCGCCAACTAGATCGGATATCGTTTAGCGTAAAGTAACTCCGCGAAGTAAGAACTGTGGAGGCGGCATTAATCTGGAATTGTTATTCAAATACCCTGTGCTGGGAACATAAACAAGTGCATGGTTGAGCACTGGTTTTAAATAAAATAAAAAAAAACAATAATGGCATCCAAAATGATTAAGTGCGCGGGATGTATGAGTACTATAGATACTAGAGAATATTTAAAATGCTGTAAATGTACCCAAATATTCGATCTGGATTGTGCTAATGTGTCAACTGCTCGGTTTCGTAATACAATGAACAAGGAACACAAAAACAAGTGGACATGTCAAGAATGTCTAAGTAGGAAGCCAAAAGTGGGAAACACAAATACTCCTATACGCGATCTGAAACATGATAGTAATATAGTTACGGCCAATGACAATTGTGATGAGGCGATTAATGTTACCCTCCGGAGTAAAAATCGGTCTCCTTCCAAACGTGATACTGCTACTGCTGAGTTTTCTGATCGTTGTGGACATTTATCCATTAAGGAGCAGGTTAGCGAAGTGATCAAGGAACTTATGCCATCAATGTTCAAGGAAATTCTAAAGTCTGAACTTGCTACTATCAAAAATGATCTCCAGGAACTTACTAATACCGTTTCATTTCTTAGCACACAGTATGATGATATGAATCAGCAGATTATGAAACTGACTACAGATAATAATACTTTGAAGGCGGACAACAGCAAGCTAAAAGCTGCTATTGTGGACGTTACTGAGAGATTGAATAATGTTGAACAAAGTTTGCGAGCAAATAATTTAGAAATGCATGGCATCCCTGAAAATCGGAATGAAAATCTAATCAGCCTAATGCAACAGTGTTCTTCTGTAATAGGTCACAGGATCAACGATGGTGATTTATTGAATTGCATTCGTGTAGCTAAAAAGGATAAGGAAGCTAAACGTCCACGTACAGTAGTGTTAGGATTCAAAAATGCTATGTGCCGTGATGAGTTTTATTCTGCTGTACATCGGTATAATAAGTCAAATGTAGATAACAAGCTCAATACATCGTTACTCGGAATTGCTGGAGAGAAACGGCCAATTTATGTCCAGGAGCACCTGTCACCCACCAACAAGAATTTACATGCTGCTGCTCGTAAAAGGGCAAAAGACTTTAATTATAAATTTGTATGGGTTCGTAACGGACGCATATATGTCCGAAAAAATTCTGATTCAGCATATATATATGTAAAGAACCATGATAGCATACAACTGATTCAGTAGTTAATTGTAATCTTTTTCTTTTATTCTTTAGTATTAAATAATGAATTGGCTTAATTTTATAATTAAAATGCTCGATTCAATTTATTATCAAAATATCCGTGGCATGAATACTAAGACCCACGACATTTACAATAATATTTTGTGTAGCAATTTTGATGTGGTTTGTCTCTGTGAAACATGGTTAAATGATTCAGTACTATCTTCGGAATTGTTTGATACTAGGTATGTTGTAGTGCGTAGAGACAGGGATGTTAAATTTCTTGAGAGATTTGATAAGAGGCATGGTGGCGGAGTATTGATCGCAGTATCTAAAAACTTACACTATAGGGTTAGGTTGGATTGGCAGACCGAGTATGTGGAGGATCTATGGGTTCAGATAACGCTGAAAAATAAAACAACGGTGAATATTTGTATAGTTTATTTGCCTGATTATGTACCTGGTGATATTTTTCATAGTTTCATCAATAATTGTGAGCGTGTATTGACTCAATATCCGGATCAAATTACCTGCATTCTGGGTGATTTCAACTTAACTGGCCTTAAATGGTCTTTGGAAAACGGCACTCCCTTAAATCCATCGTGTTTAAAGTCTCATCTTCTTAATGATTTGTGTCATATTGCATCATTGAATCAGATGAATTTTGTTGCTAATCATAATGATCGTATACTTGATCTGGCTTTGACTAACACTGCAGATTGGTTTTCCTTATCGAATGCAATCCCTATAAGTCGTCTGGATATGCATCATCCCCCATTTCAGTTGCTTGTTAAGGGACCGTCAGATGCATTAGAAAATAATAACGTTATCGAAAGATTCAACTTTTATAAATCTGACTATCAAAAAATTATATTAGAACTAAAACAGGTCGATTGGGATTATCAGGGTGCCATTCTGGATTGCAATGATTTGACACAGTTTTTCTATAATAAGTTGTACAGTGTTATTGAAACTTTTACTCCCAAAATGAAAAAACGTAGTTCTGGTTATCCTGTTTGGTTCTCTAGAAGTCTAATTAAGGTTCTTAAAGAGAAATCAAAATATCATCATAGATTTAACAAATATAAAAATCCCCGAGATTACGATACTTTTTCTTTACTTAGATCACGAGCCAAAAAATTAGTGGATGAATGTTTCAAGATATATATAAATAAAATTGAGAAGGATTTGGTTTTAGGCTTAAAATCTTTCTGGAGATACACAAAAAACAAAAGAGTTACTAATGATATCCCTAAACATATGTATATAGATGGTCAGGTTGCTGATTGTGGTGCACAGGTTGTAAATCTATTCGCAAGGTACTTTTCTTCAGTTTATGGTCCTGATTCAAAACCTTATTATTATCCTGAATTTGAATCAACAAGTTTTTCTCTTGGCGATATACATATAAGTGAGAAACAGGTTTTAAAGCTTTTAAAGAATGTCAATTTATCTAAAGGAGCGGGGCCTGATGGAATTCCTCCGATCTTTATTAGATTTTGCTCTGAAGCCTTAGCAAAACCATTAACTCTATTATACAACATGTCATTAAGGAGTGGTACTTGTCCATCTTCATGGAAAGTAGCTAATGTGACTCCAATACATAAGTCAGGTGACAAAGGTGATATTACAAACTATCGTCCTGTTTGTGTACTTAGCTGGTTTGCCAAATTCCTTGAAAGTATAGTTTATGACCACCTCTATAACCATATTAGACATGCCTTAAGTCCTTTGCAGCATGGATTTGTATCAGGTCGATCAACGGTTTCAAATTTATTAGTTTATACAACATTTCTCTGCCATTCATTTAATAGTAAGACTCAGGTTGACTCAGTCTACGTTGATTTCTCTAAAGCATTTGACCGCGTTAATCATCACATTCTATTAAATAAATTATATCACATAGGTATTCATGGTAGTCTTCATCGATGGTTTACTTCATATCTCTTGAAACGTTCACAGCTTATAACACTTAATGGTTATGATTCGGTGCCGTATATGGCATCATCTGGTATTCCCCAGGGATCTAATTTGGGTCCCCTATTATTCCTGATATTTATCAATGACTTGTTAAATGAATTTGATAGTAATTGTTTGGCTTATGCAGATGATATTAAAATTTTTAGACAAATTAAAAACATTAATGATTGCATGTCTTTACAAAATGACATTGATATATTGCTACTTTGGTGTAATAAAAATTGTATGTCTCTCAATAATAATAAATGTCAAATAATCAGTTTCACAAAAAATAAGCATAGCATTGTGCACGAATATGAGATGAATGGAATAGTCTTGGATCGAGTAAATCTTGTCCGTGATTTGGGTGTGTGGTTCGATTCAGATTTATCTTTTACACAACACTATAATTTTATTTGTAACAAAGCCAGCAGAATGCTTGCTTTTGTAGTGAGACAATCCAAGCAATTTAAAAACCCAAGCTCTTTAATATTACTCTACACGTCCTTAGTCAGAAGTATATTAGAATATTGCTCTAGTGTTTGGTCACCAATGTATAACAACCACATCAATAGAATAGAAGCTGTTCAACGCCGTTTTTTGAGAAGTCTTTGTGTTAGGTTTGGTCTGAGACGTAGATTACAGGATTATGACGATCGGCTTAAGCATTTTTCATTGGTCAGCTTGGAAAAGCGCAGATGGGTAATTGATTTGACTATCTTACATAAAATAGTAAATGGTGAATATTGTGACCAACTCCTAAACCAGGTTAATTTTAAAGTACCTAATAAATCAGTAAGAGTTCCTAAATTGTTTAGTGTATCAGGTACCAATAATAATGTCTCAAAACATGCACCGCTCTCACGTATGTGTCATGCATATAATAATTTATGTTCTTTCGGAGATGAATTTGATGTATTTAATTGTAGTTTACATTCCTTCAAAGTTTCACTATTGTGTGATAGTACTTAATTTATTAGTATAGTAGTGGTACCTATTATGTTATTTAAAGTTTTCATGTTGTGTTTTCAAAACACAAATTAGAATCTTAGTGCTGAAATAATTTCTTTGCTTTTTTTTTTTGTATAAATGCTGTGTACAATTATTATTGGAATATAGATTTATAAAGTAACCGGTAGATGTTAAGTATAATGTACAATTTATGTTCTGTTATTGTACCTCAAACAATAAAAATAAAATAAAAATAAAATTAGTATATTCTTTACATGAATTCTCTACATAACTTATAAGCATTCCCTAGCCAAATGGATACGTGTATATTTATTAGTGATTAGATTTTTTTTAATTACTAGTGTTGATTTTATATAGAAGCCAATTAATTCAACGATACTTCTTCTGAACACTCTCGTAGTTACCTGTTAGTCTTAGAAAATATGAAGAAACTACTGCCATCAGGTATTGGCTTCTCCTGAGACTTTATTTCCACTTCAGACAAGCGTCGTGGTCGTGCCGATATTGTTGGCTGGCGTTTAATGGGTTCCTTTTCTTCTTTTTTTATATCACCTATTGTCAAAAAACACACCCTTAAAAACAACGTAGTCATTTTAATGATTTCTTCTATGGGTCTCTCCAAAAGATCAAACTTGTGATACTTTACAGTTGACAAGATACACAATTGTGACAGACAGACGAGCGACTATTAAACTTTAATATATATCCAAACGTAATATTACTTATTGACAACATTTACATCGATAATTAAAAGTTATTGCCGTTGCGATCTGGTAAACCTTATTTTTTTCTCTCAACTAAAACTCTTAATTATTATATTTATAATATTGTTATTAATTAGTTTTATAGAAACTGATTAATATTGCGGCTTTTGTAAACTCACTCAGAATACAACCAAATATATCAATTTCATTAGCTAATGATAGATATAGATAATGAGGACGCCATAATATCACAATTTGACCATGACTTTCAATTGTAGCTAACGTTACAAACGAGTAGGGTAATATTACAAAAAATTCAATTCGATCACATCCACTCCTCACATAAGCAAGTGCATCAATGCGTGAATATCGTGGAGAAGATACTAAATAACAACTGAGAGTTATTGGGCTCCTCGGCTGATAACCGCCATCGCAGAGTATGAGTGATCTTAATAAGCAATTCAGTTTTTCAGAGTCTATATCAATTGTTTATTCAATCAATCAATCATACCGTTTTGTATTTTGTCAGTAGTGACGAGAGCGTCATTTGCATTATCCCTTTCTTCCTGTTCTTCGACCTCTTCTTCTGATCCAGATTCTTCATATTCATGTTCAGATCTGTAAAATATAGTCATAGTAATAATTTTATCAATCACCATCTTTATTTGAAGTGTTTCATTAAATATGTGTCCCTTACTTCATACTGTTTTGTACTGACCTGGCGACTCTCCTATATTTTTTATAAGGCTGGCTGTTATTAAAATATTTATAAATTGTAATTGCTTTTATTTGAGCTATGTATCTAAAAACGAATGGCTACATACCCTTCACTGGAGTAACCTTCTTCCTCATTTACATATTCATCATCAGTTTCGCCCCTTTCTTCATCTAATTGTGGATTACCAGCTTCAGGATTTTCAGCGTCCTAAATAAAATAGAATAATTATTTTATTTTAAGAATACAAATTGTTACTGTAAAAGAAAATGCTATACTAAAAAATAAACTTCATGAAAAATATTAAAAAGAAAACACAAATCGTATTGTAATAGGACCTGAATATTACAAAATAGGAAAATTAGATTAAACACATTAAAATATTTGAGCTATCAAAACAATTTGACGAAATTAAAAACGATTCAGTTTAATATCAATCGACAAAATAAAGCAATAATACTGATTTCTAATTGAATATGTAACACTGTGTATTGATTTCTTTAATTTATTTTTAACAATTTTTGTAATATTACAAACCTCTTTTTCTTTTTCAATTTCATCCATTTCCTCAGCATCACCTAAATTGTCGACAGCGATAGCCAAGAACACGTTCAACAGAATATCTATATAATGTTGTTAAGGAAAACCTTATTTAATATTACATATTTATAAAAAGAGATAATATTTTTTTAATTTAAAAAAGCGTAGAAAGTTTAATAAACCACTTGTTATGTGAAATGTATTTAACCTATTATGTATTTTATTTGTATGCCATTGCTCATGTTACAAATACTTGGAATGCTATAGTAGAATAGAGCACTTCCAGTTCTGGCAATATTATTTTTATGATTTTAAATATAACTTTGGATAGAAAATACACAATTATGATAAAATTATATTTAAATATAGTGTTATATTTAAGCAATTCAACAACATTATACATATATAACTTGAATAATTATTTTTTATATTACTGAAAAGGATACAGTTACCGCAAACGAAAATAACTATAAAATAAATAGATGCAAGCATTCCGGGTGTGCCCGCACCACCATAAGCATTAATTCCATGGTACATCACCACGTTCCAATCTTCACCAGTAAGAATCTGAAATATACAGAGTATTCACTTTAACGAAAACACATAAAACTGTAATTAAAAAAAAAATGGGCTTAATAATATAATTTGATTCAAAAGATTAAAAAAAAGTAAATGAATTTTTCATATGCGCTGATATTGATTACATGACCTTATTTTGGCATAGTAGTAAATTTATTTTCTTAGGTACACGAAAATTTCTGCAGTCAATTTCGAACTTAAACAGTATACCGATAAGCCCTTAAATCGATTTAAGAAAACTTTTTGTAGGTACTTGATGTGCTGTCGACTATTTTTACAATATTATTCAAAAAACTGTTATAGTGAAACATTCACATATTTTTGAGGTCATCCATCGTACTTTACTTCAATTGACGTCATTTCAGAAAGCATTTAAATAAACAAATTAAAAACGAATACTAATTGTTCTTCATCTAATCAAACCTGAAACATTGTCAATACAGCTTGCCAGAAAGAGTCGAAATTGTGCCTCTCTTTTTGTTCTTCAGGTTCGTAGTCGAACTTGCCTCCGAACACCTGCATCCCGAGTAAAGCGAAGATCATGATGAACAGAAAGAGAAGTAAAAGTAGAGAGAAGATGGACTGAATGGAGTTGAGGAGGGAAGCAACCAGGTTGGAGAGAGACCGCCAGTACCTGAAATATTCACTTTACATCACGATAAAATTCTAGAAGATAAATAATTACTAAAGGTTACTTCAAGTATCCTGAAATTGAAATTAATTTACGTGAAATACGTATAGGAATGAGCAAAGATAAAGAGAGAAGAATTTAGAGGAGTCTTATAATTTATTTCACTTAAAACTCAAGTGAAAGAAAGAATGTTAATATCTTCTTAATAAAAAAGAATAATGTAACACTACCCTAGCTACAAATTTGATATCATTTTAACTAATGACAAATACTTATAAAGCAAAGTCTTACTTGGTAACTTTGAATACTCTCAGTAATCGGACGCATCTCAATACAGATATACCCAGCTGTGGGATGGTGTCAGTCATGGTGAGGGCTAGTTCTACTATAGAACACAACATGACAAAACAGTCGAAACGGTTGAACAAAGACACGAAGTAACCCTGCAAATATGAATTATTAAATAATACTGACTCAAAAATGAAAGTGTCTAATTGAATTGTTTAATACTTACTTGAAATCCAAGTGCATACATTTTGACCAACATTTCCATGGTAAAAAGAACTACAAATAAATAATTAGCATAATTTTGGAAATGATCTAACCATTTTGGTTGACTGAAACAAATATAGCAAGTATATTATTCATTCAATTATATTTAAGACACTGAACATCTGAAATCATAGAAAAAGAAATACATAGAAAAACGCTTATAACTTACTTATGATGTTCTGTAGCTAAAACTAATGTATTAAGAAAAACTAGAACAATTATGGCCCAATAAAATGTTTGTGATTTTACAGCTTTTCTGCAAGCCCTTCTCATTCTTCTATTTACCTAAAAGTAGATTATAAATTTTTAACTTCGGAAATATAGTTAACATAACATAAGATTATCTAAATAGCTTAAATGTGTAATCCATCGATTTCGGAAATTAGACATATTGCTATAATGTTACAAAATATATATTAATTAAAATTGAACTAGACAATTTTCTTTACAAATAAAGTAGAGGTCCTAATACATTACCTTGTCAAACCTCCTACAATACACTTTACACGTTGTAGTTTGAAATTGATCACCACTCATGCCATTTATATTACTTTGAGATCCATCATTACTTTTTCTGTCTTTTTTACCTGTAAACAATAAATTTGATGGCCGTTACATTCTATCAAAAGCTTAACATATAACATGCATGATTGATTTACATGAAATAAAGTTAATTATTACATGAAATAAATGTGGCATCGCGAGAGACATTTTTCGAAAGCAGCATACCAATAAATAAATAAATACAAAGATACCTTGAGAAATTTGGTCATCTTCTTTTTGAGCTTGATCATTTTCTAAATCTAATTCTTCAGCAACCGTTATCCAGTTAAGATAACCTTTCAAGTCTTCCTCAAACTGTTGTCTTTCGCGTGTTTTTTGAAAATCGCCACGATTTTTCGCTTTCTCTCTTTCTTTAGAGAACTCACTAGAATTCATAGAATTGTTTTCATCTTTTAAAATTATCTTTGCTAAGTCTAATAAAAAAATATAATAAGTATATTATGAATTACAAATTTCAAATACTTATTCTATATTATTAACATACCCAGACAACACACCAAGAATAAGGTTCATGACGAAGAAGTTTCCAAATATTACCAATGTAACAAAATAAATCCATGCCCATGTGTTTCCTTTGACATCGGCTATCTAAAAGTAACATATTTTTTTCATTATAACAAAAAATACGAAACCAACATTATTTATCTTTTATTATAAATATAACGTAACATCTTATGTTAAGGTTATACTAATCAATTAATATGTTAGAATTGGTAAATCAACTGGGATGATTAATAGCGTGTAAGTAGCATTTTCAAACGAGAGCTAATTTTAAATGAATTGTAATACTATCACACATAAAATAATATCTTAATTGCAAGTGTTAACACGGTTTTGCACTATCCCCGACTCTGTTCAATTATTTCTAACTACATACCGCATACATAATATCCGTCCATCCTTCCAAGGTGATACACTGAAATACTGTAAGCATGGAGTATCCAATATGATCAAAATTGGTGATGCCAAAGTTGGGGCCCATCCAGGGACCTCTGCAGACTTCTCCAAACTCACATTTGTAGCCCACATCACCGTCACTATTACAGGGATTTCCAGATATCTCATTTTCATCTGTGAAAGAAGCGTTTCGTTTCCATTTTCGTTGCATAGAAATTGAAGTAGACATTACAAAAATTATATCTGCAAATCATTGAAGTATCTTTTTATTTTCTTATTTTTATCTATCATTTAGTCACGTTATAAAATTGAAAATGAAAAATTACGATGACTGCAAAAGTAAGACGTTCAGCAACTTTTACCTACTTGAACCTATTGTTACAAAAACTAACCGCTAGTTGCATAAACGTCTGAAACTGACATTATTTTTAGGTTGCATCACTGATCAAGAACATTAATTGAAAGTAAAAAAAATAAAATTTAAATTCTGAAAGTATTACCAATGTAGCAGGTCTCGTGAAGTACACCAGAAAATAATTCAAGTCCAATGATCGCGTAAATGATGATAACGAAAAGCACCAAGAATGCGATGTGGAAGAGAGGTATCATCGCCTTCAGGATTGAATTCAACACAATCTGAAGACCTGTCGAGTGAAAACATATTATCATACTCGTATCCTTTCTTATATTCCTTCGTACCTTGTAAAATCTTTACAATTATGTTTTCGTCCTCGCAGAGTAGCTCGATGGCGTAGTGGATAAGCGCCGCGGCCTGCGATCGTTGTCGATAAGCAACTTTCGCAAGGGTCGTTCGCACGGGATGGGTGACCAAAAAATTATTATCTCGAGCTACTCCGTGCTTCGGAAGACACGTTAAACCGTTGGTCCTTGCTGTATTTGCAGTCGTTAATACCCTCCAATCTGCATTGGACCAGCGTGGAGGGTCAATGCCCATCCTCTTTAACCATCCATAAGGAAGGCCTGAGCCCCTGCAGTAGGGACGTAAAAGGGCTGATGATGATGATATTTTCGTCCAAACTCTGTTAGATAATTCCTAAATTAGTTTTCGAAATCTTTTCTTAGAGAAACTCTTTGTCATAACTACTATCGGTGTGCCAAATTTAAGCTCAATCCATGTAAGCTACGTGTTGACAGATCAGTTAGTCAGTTTTTGCCTTTTATACATATTTAGAGCCAACGAGCTATTGTCAATTTACTTCACCCGTAAGTTGAAATCGCAGTTGAAGTGACTAGATATTATGTAACCATATTTGATCTAACTTGTAAATAGAGGTTTATACTCTTGAGAAAGTCATAATTTATCATATCTAAAAAATTATGTATTTTTTAGATATGATAAACGTACATGAAATGTTTATTTTTTAATCGAATCCAAATTACCGCTATTAAAACTTACTTGGAACTCCTGATACAAGACGAAGTGGTCGTAACACCCTAAATGCTCTTAAAGCTTTCACGTCGAAACTATCTGCTGAGAAATATTGAAGCACCATAGAAACTATACTGTAAAAAAAGTTAAGGATTAATAACACAAAGAAATTAATGACAAAACTTAACTTATATTTTGAGTTAAACATAAGTGTGATATAAGTAAGGGGTGTTTAATTTTTCCGAGAATATGTTTGTTTGAGAACGTCAGGTGATCATACCAGTTGCAAAACAAGAATTTGGCGAAAACTACTGAAATATTATTTTTTTAAACACATAAAAAGATAAAATACTGTGTTAAGACGTATACTTCAAAAAAGGAGGTTCTTAGTTTGACCTATGTATGTATGATTAACTCGCGTTTGGCTGAACCGAATTTGATGCGATTTTCAGTACAATATTTGTCAGACTTAGGAGGGTTTTAAGTATATTAACCGGCAAAAAAATGGAGGTTCGCACTTTAACGCGTGTTGTACATATTGTCCACGATTATCTCGCGTTTGGCTTAAGTATTTTTAATGTTATTAATAGTCTCATTGACCAGCCCGTTTATTTTGTCTTGTATTCTTATTTTTATATTTATACTTGGTCTTGAAATTGTTCACTCACCCAATAGTTACAATTGTGAAGTCAAGTCCATTCCACGTGTTCCTTAAATAAGCGCCAGGGTGCAAGAGCAGACCGTAGGCGATGATCTTCATAATACACTCCCCCGTGAATATAATCATAAACACCCATTCTACTTTTTCCTGTAAGTATAGAAAAAAAATGTTTTTCACCCTCTTGATCGCATCACTTACCATAACGGTAATAGAAAAGTGACAACCAAACACACTTTTTTGTATTGAATAGTACAAGACGACACGTTTCATCGCGACATTCGCGACATCGCGAAACGTCCAAGAAGCGTCGTGTCTTGTAATATTCAGTGCAAAGAATTATACGAGTTAAGGCAGAAGATCCGGCATAAGACACTCCCTCCTTTTTGGCCATTTAACTTCAAGGCATTCTGACTATCGCATAGGCAAATATACCTTGTATAATTATTCTTTTTTAGTATTGCGTTAAGGCAAAATTAATACCATAGACAGCTGTGATGTGTCAAAGTTCACTTCCTTGTAACTCTTAGAATGGCCAAAAACGGTCATCTACCCTAGATTTAATTGATCCGATATAGTGGGGATAGTAGAGCGTGTTATTTGTTTTTGTGCTGCATACGTTCTTTAACGATAAGTAACCTTTAGGAGTTTCAATCAGCTGAATTTGTTGGATTAGGTAGGGTACCTTAACAGTTATTTACCGTGTTGTGCAGCAAGCTAAATAAACAATTAAACTTTATTATACAAATTATCAGCCATATTTATATAGGGTTAGAAATAGAAATTGAGAGAAATAATACCGCCTATCGTTGACTGGCAAGCAGTCAGGTATATTTTTGTGGTTAATCCGTATAGCATTTGAATTAATGAAAGGATTAACCTAACATTACGATTAATAGTCTAATCGGTTAACCCGTAAACACGATTAAGGGATTCCTGAATTACGTTAATACGTCATATAGAACAACACTTTTTTAATTGGGAAAGTCCTTAGGAGAGCCGTCCTAAAATAGGCCACTGAATCTACAAATACATTAATCATAATTTAATAACTACAATTATTGACTCATTATAATTAACAATAAACTTCACGTTTTAACACATAAGTTGGCCAGCTTCCAAGGTAGCTGCATAGTAAAGGGCCAAGGTATAATATCGCTATAATATATTTTAACGAGATTCCGATACACTTTTTGAAAGACTTCACTGTGTATAACTGCCATCAGTGACATTTCGTATATTGTACTCATCCAGATCAGCTAGAAAATTTTATTATTATCAAGAAACCTTTTGTGGTAGATACTGAAACTTCATCACTCATCGGCCATTCATTTTTAGCGTATTACCTTGTACAATCACGTACAAAGTTTTTGAATTACAAATTCGTAATTTCACGATATCAGTTTGACCCTATTTAAAGTACTTTGCTTTTTAAACCAGTTTTCTTATAGAAATTACGTATCTTTAACCGATAATAATAAATGCCGTAACTGATACCAAATTTCGGAAAATGTCGGATTGAAACGGGGTCTAAATGAAATATTTTATGTTTTAATTATATCCTGCTGAGAATACTTAATTGAATTTGCTACTTAAATGCTACTCTAATGAGTTCACAGAGTGTGCGAGAGTAGCGTCATCCTCATCCATGACAAAAAATAAACGGCACGGTAGTATATTTAATAGAATCAATTTGAAACAACATTTTTGTTTTTAATATTGAGTTTGATTGAAAATTTTAGATCAAATCGTTTTGTTTATGATGTGAGTCCAGTGATATTGCTGTTTTATTTAAATAACCCTGTATATGAAAAAGATAACAGATAGAGATGTTTCCTACAAGTAAAAACAACCTGTATTTTTATTCTGTTATATATATATATATATGCTCGGAAGATAAAAACTATTTTAACTATAAATATTTAACAAAATATTTTTATTAAAATCAGAACCAATCGGAAAGTATTACGCTTTGAAACATAAAAGAAAAGGAATAACAAATGATAAATATTTGCTTAAATACATATAAGGCATTTTTGTTAGATAAAATTTAACAACTTTCATAATTACAACTATAATCATAAACGAAAAAATAACAAAGATATTACAAACATTGCCTAGTCGCGTGACATTGCTTCAAAGCTTGAAACAAGCAGCTGTTCTAAAATACTGCACCATATCCGAAACTCTTAATCGCAGGCATGCTGTTACTTCTGTATTATTTATCAGATATTAATAAAGTATTTATTTCTAAAATAAATAAAACAAAACTAATCAACTAGCCTATAGTCACCTATTAAAACGGCATAAATCATCAAAAATCGAATAAACATCAAACAAACAGGAAAAGAAAGTGTGCTCCTAAATGTTTTTGAAGCGAAACTTTTGTTGTTGATAGTACTTATTTTTCTGGCAACAACCCAAGTAGACGTTTACTAGACAAAAGTCTCTAGCGTATCTTCTTAATACGTAACAAAATATGACTGACTGACTCACTAATTACGAAAGTTCGCGAACTATAACGAATCTTTACTAATATTAATTATGCGTATGTCTGTCTGTTACGCTGTTACGCTTCTCTTTTGATGAATGGTATGGAGATGATATGTGGACCTTGAGCGAAACTATTTATACACAGAAAATTATTACACATATAAGTGAAAAGAAAAACATAAAGAAAAATTTAAGACTTAATATTATTAATAGACGACGAATATGAAAAAACTAATTGTGGTTTAAAACAATGTATCATTATGTAAGAAAATCAGCGTCGAACTGTGCGTTGCGCGCAGCATTGTATAGAGCATCAATGAAATAAAACCTTTATCACCTTTTAAAGTATGTTTTATATAAATAAATCTCTATTCTGCGACAGCGCTGTACTCGACTTCGAGTTCAACGCCGATCTTATTACGGAATAGCTCTACAACTGCGAATCATCGTCCAAATTTAACATTTTCGATGTAAGATAGGTGAAAAAGTTGTATATATACCCCCCACGCTATAGCATCGTATGTATATCGACCATCTTGTCGATAAAAATCAACCGTAATTGAAATGTGAGAAGTTTGCCATCGCTAGAGAATTAAAGTATGAGAGAAGGATATATAACTTACCATAGACTATATACTTATTAATATTGTGTAGCTTACCAATATTTGATTAGTGTTGTTCGTGTCGCCCGAAGGATATGGGGTGAATACAGCTAAAGCTATACAATTGGCGAATATTGTGATTAATATCATGTATTCAAAAGGTCTGAAATTATTCTATCAAAGAAATTAAAATATATCTATTGGCGACGATTCTGTTGTACCACGTTTTAAAATAAAATTAAACTAATAAAAATATCAATTTTTACTTTGTTTCATTCGAAAGTCTTATGTATCTTTCTATATCTTGACGCGATTGGCAGAGAGGAATGAGTGCCACAAGGTACGGTCTTTATATGTGAGGGCCGTGTTCGGGATAAGGTATGTGCGTCTTTAGTCTCCTCCTTTTTCATTAATTTTTGCATACAAGCTCACCAGTTTTTATGACCTCCGACATCACCTTCTAGCAGCACGCAATTGATTTGATCATAAAGGAATGTCGTGACTTACGTAAGCTTCTTCATAATTCCACTTTATTAATTACCTTTTTTATATAATTAATTAATTGAAGATAATAAACAGAATTCTACATTTATTCTATACGCCGCGGAGTTAAACAGGTGAACGCGCGCCTTTATATCGTTTCCTCGACACATTCAACAGTAGGTTTTTAGACATTTATTGCACGCAATACAAATCGGTTTAAAAAGTCAATTAGAGAACAACCGATTTCCTTACGCACTCCTAATGTAACATAGATTGTCTATATTAAACTTAAACTACTGTCTTCATTTTAAAAATTATTGCATTAAAAAAAATTTGAGCTTTGTTTTATATCGAATTTAACACGACTTTGTAACATGTGGGTTTCACAATTATCTATAGATGTTTATTGAAACATATCATTGTATCACCATGTATTGTGTTGACCGTTTATTGTCCCTAATAAAAAATAATTAAAAAAACGAAGATATTCTTTTCTACATTAATCCGGCCAGGAATCGAACCCAGGATCTAAAAGATGGCGACACTTTGATACTGGTTACGGAGAGCATCTAGTAAGTTAACTTATTATATGCTATTTCTGATAGAAGTTATTCATAATCATCAGCTCTTTTATAACCCCTACTGCAAGGGCTTCCTTATGAATGGCTATGACCCTGCACCCTGACCCAATGCGGATTGGAGGGTATTAACGGGCAAATGCGGCCAGGTTCAAACCAGGTCTTTCACAGATGATACATTTCTGTTGCCGCTATGACAAATAATACTAAAAATCAGAATAAAATAAATATATAAGGTGATTTTTTGGTCGTTTTTGATATGGAACTCTTCGTGCGTAAGTCCAAGTCTCACTTGGCCAGTTTTATATCGGAGATAATTGCATAAAAGCTAATTTTGTAAAGGATACTTCCATTCCACTATGTCGTAGCAGAGTTTTCTTAGAGGATTCTTAAGACCTAAGCAGAAAAGACTCCTTTTCGGCCTCTCTGGTTGCGGCTTGCCCCTTGGTCTGGCTTGCTTGCGAGGGGCAGGCGGAGGTTGGTTCGGATCCACGCTCTCAGACCCGGGCGTCACCGCTGTTGGCAACTCGGTTGCCATTTTTAACTAAAACAAAAGAACATAATTCAGTTTCAAGTTCTCTCGTGAACATTATGATACAGACAGGACCAAACATTGAGTGTGCGCCTTCCAAAGCACGAAGGAGCTCGTGATAATACATTTTTGGTCACCTAACCTATGACTGGCCCTTGCGAGAATTGCCTAACTACATAGCACACCGAACGAGCTAACGCCATTGAGCTCATTAAGTTTGAGTTAGTTTGTTTTACATATCCGTTTAATAAATCCAACAAATCTGTCGAAAACTTCATTGTATATGGTTAGATAGAGCGCAGTGTGTTGCCGTTAATGACAGTCGTAAAACGGATAGCGCACAGAGCGGACGTAAACACAAGCTTGGGACGAGAATAAAAACATTACCGGCCGTTTGGTGGGCGTGACAGTCACAGTGTTTTCGGTACATCTTAATCACGCATCTTGTGAAGTCCGCAATGAGTAGAGTCCGTACCTTTCATCTACGCTTAGAAAGCTACATCATACGCGGGTGAAATAAGTTATAATTTACGCGAACGTAATCGCAGGACAACAGCTAGTATTAAAATGTCACCAAGAAAAAAAAATCTTGCCCTAAATTTTGAAATATTTTGATGCTAGCTAAAACGGCGTACGCCACATTCATGACGATTTAACAATATTGGTAGGTAAATAAAACAAACGCATACTGTCTTATCATAAAACAAGCACTAACTAGCATTATTAAACCATTACCCCACCTTTAGAATATAATCCTATCAAAATAACTCAATATGTCTCTGAAGATCTGGCACTATGGCTCAATCGCCTTCGCCAGTCCTTAGAGGACGAAGTTTACTACTACGTCTTAATTTTATGTCTTCTCTGCTGTCATTGTCAATTTGCTTATTGGCTACCGTTGACCGCTCAGCTAATAGTTTTAACCAATTACTAACTTTAGTCTTCATTTAATAATAACTCGGATATTCATACAAGAACCAAAGAATCGACAACAGTGTCATCTGAGGATCTGTTAAGAAATAGATTCAGATTCCGATCTATGTTTATTTTTGTCGAATTATTTTTCACTCCAAAATTACACTTTTTATCGAGTTAATGTAATATAATATTTCGTTTATTAGACTACTACAAGTAATAATAGGTTTTACATGTTAATGTAATGGTCAGTTGGTGTACAAATTGTTAGAATTAGGTGACATAAAAATATCACCAAATTATATTTATATAACCGTATCTAAAATGTACTAGCTCAATTGCGCCTTGATTAGCGCGTTCTGTGATACGGAAGTTAGAGACAGAGGCCGATCAAAGGATAACCGAAAATTTAGTGTCTTGAGCTCGTTGGTGCTTCAGACGGCACTTTAATCCATAACTCCAGGCGTCTGCAATCATTAACATCGACCAATCCCGGCTGAGCCCGTGTAGGGTCACCCTGCGGCTCTTGCAGCTAAAATTTAAGTTCTTTAGTTCCAATTACAAAAATATTGTAATGTTTAACCTTTTAAATGAGATACGCTGATTATACCTGAGAGATAATAATAATATTAGAAGTTGTTTATTTTAAATAAAACCTCTAATGGAAAAAGAAAATTAACAAAATCTTTCAGCTCCTTAAACACTATGAAATTTTGTAGCTTTTGGCTGTTCCATCTCATAAGGTTACCGACCTCTAGAAAAGGTTATATATTACTGTTCTTTTTAAATGAAACCGTGCAATGTAAGTATATAAATATTATAGTGTCTCGTCGTGACTAATGACTACGTATATCCACATATTTTCCGAGTTCCCATCGGGGAGTCGTCTCGTGCCGCCGACAAACATACGTGCGTGATGTGTTCATTCGTTATAAGTATAGTGATATGTGTTCCTGATTGAATGAATCATGGGGAGTGTGTGTAATGTAATTTAAGGATAAAGCGTTTATAAAAAAACTTTGCTCGATGTCTTCGAGATTCTAGAAAGTATGTAGAAGCATATTATAATTCGAGTTGAAGTAAAAAAATTAAAATAATTAACACAATAATTTTTAAAAACAAGCTTTTGTTCTTGCATAGACAAATCGACGATCCCAAAATTGATAAGGTTGCGTATTTAATTAAAAAATAATTATAAACACCTTCCTGTTCCATTATAATAACTTGGATAACTTCTCGGGCCAATCATCATCAGCCCTTTTATCTCTCCACTGTAGGAGCCCAACTCGTCCACGTTGGTCCAATGCGGATTGGAGGGTATTAATGACTGCAAATGCAGCCGGGACCAACGGCTTAACATACGTTTGGAAGCACGAAGTAGCTTGAGATAATATTTTTTTTGTCACCTAATCCGTGACCGATCCTTAAGAAAGTTGCTTAACAACAACGATCGTTGGCCGCGACGCTCCGCTATCCAGTACGCCACCGAGCTACACTATCCCAGCCCAAAGTCATTTGGGTAATTAAAAATTACAGAGTTCCCATGACTTCAGCTCCATTACATGTTAATAATGCATTGTCATCCGAGTTATATGTGAATGTACAGTTTCAGCTCAAACGAAAACGGAGAAGTTTTCAAAATTTGATACACACTGTTTTTATAATATGTTTTTGGCAAATGAAATAAAAGCTTTTGTTTATATGTTATGTTATATATAGAATAATCAAACCACATGTGTTACCACGGTAGCTGAAGGGGGCTATCATTAAAAAAGAAACTTAATTTTCATTAAAAACTAACTTAAACAATTTATTAGTTAGTTTTATCGAGCTTTCTCTCTATCGAGAAAGACCGATCAAAAGTATTATGAAAATATATAGCCCTGACATACGCAAATAAATTATTAATTCATTAATTATTTTTGTTTCTTGCAACGGGGGCGTATCGTCATAGATACCAAATACTATGGGTTTGTTTTTTAACAGCCACATAAGTATCTCATAAGTATCTCCTCATAAAATAACATAAGTGAAACAAGAAGAAACAAACATAACAACCATTTATAATATTACATATCCTATTTAGAGCATAAATGTTCAGCAAAGCTTTTAAGTTTAATATAAAATGTTATGTTAAGCCATGATTGAAAAGTATTTGACTTGACAGTTGTCAATAGTTGAAAATTTGCAATATAAATTGATTAATTCTTTAGTTTTTGTGCCATCAGATTCTGGTACACCTATACACTTACGAATGTCGAAATACACTTAACGTTGTCGCACAATCTTTCACTGCACTTTCCTTCGTCAGAGTCATGTAGTTCACTCGTCGAAACATTATGCCATTGGTTGGTAAATCTACGGCAGGAGAACTCGTACACAGAACAACTTGCAAGAAATTCAGTAGAGTTTTCTATATTTTCCTTATTTTGTAGTATACAGAGAAGGCCAGTTGAAAAATGGCTTTATAAGACATTACATTTTGTTGATATTATTTTTGAGTTATTATTTTGCGAATAAAGAATACAAATATTTCTGAAACCAGTTTTAATTAATGTCCTTCAATTATTTACCCAACACGACGTCATTAAAAATATATATCATCTCCTTACGCACTAAAGGCAGATATTAAGTTTTATGTGACGTTCCTACCCTACCTTCGGAGTAGAGGGCGATTAAGACGCTTCAATCGATACTTCAATTGTTAAATAAAGATATCTTGTTTAGAAATTTGGAAGAAACTGATGAGCTGAATCAAGAATTTTTACCCAACCAGTTATAATTTGTATTGAGCTTGTAATTAAAACTCTTTATTATAACAAGTGGTAAATACATCCAAAAATTATCCATAAGCAGAACCTCGATGTTACTTGGGCAGAACATCACTGCTAACCAAAGAGAGTATCGAGCGTTACCTCGCATCAGTTTCTTTTTAATTAATTTGACATATTTTATTAATTTATTAAAAATATATGCTTTCTGCATTTAGATCATCACTTTTCTATATAAAGTTTGTCTGTGCCACATTTCATACACCATATTCCTCCTTATGTGCCAGTTTTCCTAAAAATATGACATAGATTCTGGGAAACTCCTTATACTCCCATAAAAAAATGGAAGTGGATGCCAAAAATAAAAACGGAGTGCTCATACTTTCGCCTGTGACGTCAGTTATACTGGTGTCGGTACGAGATAGCGGAGCCAAACTCTTTTGAGCTAACACTAGCATTCCACTACAACTCTATTCGCTCTGAACACCTATCATAAAAAATATCTATTTATCTGTAATAATATTTGCAATAGATTCTTTTCGACATATGCGATCCTTTCTCAGTTTCTATCCTCCTACTTTCACGTAAATTTTTACACAGACACTTATGCCAGTTATTTTTTGCCGCTTAATGAAATAAAAACATATTTAGTTTGTTATAAAGTAATTCTGTAGTCAAACGAAATATTTCTTTTCTCCTCCTCTACCTCTTATCATAGCTTAAAACGTGAAAATTATAAACGCATAATATAATATGAATTTAAAAAAGCTACAGTTCACATGAAATTTAGCAGGGGGTTTCAGGAGTGATACAACAATCTGGCTAGTTTTTATTTCCGAAAACAAACACCGAACAAATCTTATCTACATGTACTCATATAATAAACCTTAGTTATCAATAGAATACAAAACGCATTTTGACATTATAAAAACTAAATTAAATCTAGTTTATGGAACGGAATAGCAACAAATATCTTATAAGACAACTCAATTCAATTTTCATTTTACATTTAGATATTAATTTATTCACTTGATATTGGCAGAATTGTGCTAATTGCGCAGAAAAGAAGAAGAGTACTGAATCACATAGATATTCCGCAAGCATAACTCTGTTTTTGCTTACTTGTCCTAAAGGTTGACATTACATTTTCTACAGTAAGCTGAGTTTTCCGGCTTAAGTTACTTAAAAAGATAATTTCAAACACTGCAACAAGAAAGCTGAAGCGCTTTAAAAACAGAATACTACTCACAAATCTTTGTCATCTCATAGAAGTCATTAGAACTGAGGTAATGTGTTATTTTTGTAAATGTAAATAAAAAAAGTCGT